AGAGGGAAAAAGATTGAACTGACGATGAGAAAAGGTACCGATCTCCTCTTTTCTCCGCATCTTAGACGAGGATCGCCAAGGGACAGCTTCTAGGTCAAGAGAGCGTGAGTCTACCGAGGGCGGTCGAGTGTTCTTTACAGAGGGGCTACTTTACCTCCTCTCCCCTTGAGCGTAGTAATAAGATTGATATCAGTCAAGGGTGACGAAAAAGAACCCAATCAAGACGTGGGGCCCAAGGGGAATGTGGAATCTGGTAGATTTGGGACCCGGCAGACAGCTCTAGCCAAGGTAATCTGCAGAGTAAAGCCGACAAGTCAAGCTGGCCCAATTGCCCGAGATGTGAGCTTTCGGAGGGGCCCTTTCAGAACATTTGGAGGCTGTGGTCGCCCAGAAGCGTCAAAAGAGCACCGAGGGCGGAAACGAATGCTCAATAATTAATCAGCGTTTAATATGGTGGTGAAGGCCTCACATTGTAGCAGAAGGTCCGTCCGAGGGACTGCGGTCGACCGACCATAAAGGCACTAATGAATAAGACGCGGGCCACAAAGTGGGCGTACCAACATTGAAAAACCGGCACATTGATGCAGATGATCCATTCCATTCACTATCCTCGACCAACGGATGTGGTGAAAGAGTCTCTGTTTAGTGTAATTGATGGGAGAAGTGGACAGCGCCCCAAAACCCTCGGGAGTCCTAGCCAGAGCAACTAATGCTCGACCTATGGAAGGCGCGATCCGCGATATTCTGTCGAGAGGGGAAATCCCCAGAGACGCTGAGATAATTAGTGTTCGACTATGCTTCGTGCCTGTTCAACTACCTGGGTACCTTCCAACGTCCTTTGCCACTGGCAAGAAACCCGCCGGCGGCCGATCAGCCGGAACGAGAAAAACCCTGAGAGGAGAGCACTGGGAATGCACACGGCGGTAGCGCGTCCCCCTCCGACCTAGCAGGCGATCGCTATCCTTCTCTATGAATGGGGGCGCGGCACGGCTATTTGGGTTCGAACAGGTCGTGACTCGACCTGACGCTCGGCTTGTCGGTCTTCCACACGCTAAGTTTCCTGCCCTCCCCCTCTTTCTCAAGCCATGTGGCCCAGGGTTTCGCAACGCTCCTAGAGACCCCGGAGGACTGCGCATGCGGTGCGGAACGGTAGAGATTCCAGCACAAGTGGAGGGGAAAACATGAACATCCAGAATTCGGCCCCGACAAGTGAGAGGGAACCGAGTTCGGCTTTGTTTGAGGTGTGCCCATTCGGGTCCAGGGAAGGATCTATGGGACAAAAGGTCTTGCCATGATCAAATACCAATTGCCAGCGTCCCGCGCTGTCCTGACCGCCGCCTTCTCACTACCGATTCTCATCGACCATTCCTTGAAATGCACCCTCTTGTTGCTTAAACTGTCTTTTTGACACAAGGTGGACTTTTTTGGTTTTTCCGCCGCTGTCTTCAACTAGGGAGACTCGAGACCGTTGTTTTCTAGTGGAAAGAAGAGGCACCGCCAAAGACTGTGCACACTACATGAATGACACACAAAACGCACGCTCTTAGCTTACAGAGGCGCCGGCTGTAGGGCTCGAAGGTTTGCACCCTGGCAGCAAGTAGACAAACCCATCAGAAATAAGACTTTTGCCGGGTTTCTGGGGGACCATGGCTGGAATTGTTTCAACGCCTCCCACGCGGCGCTGCATTTTCGTTCGCCATGGGCGGTGCAAGGCCGCCTTTCTTCGTAGACTACAAGACAGGATGGGCGCTAAGAAACCATCAATGTCCCTGGATCCTATGCCCCGCCGGTCCTCAGGCGAGGGGGATTACAACGGGGGAGGGAGATGACGCGAGGGGGCCACCGAGAGACGGTCTGCGGCCGGCGTCCGGAGCGTGGCTCTCCCCACTCGGCAAGAGCCAAAGGAGCACTGAGGTGAAAAACAAGGGAACAGCACAGAGATTGGAAACAGCACAGTTCCTCCTTCCCCGACAGTATGCCGGCGCCAGGGATTTTCCCTTGAGGGGAAACGTTTCCGACCATGGCTGGAGCATACCGTCTCCTAGAATTCAGGAGGGAGTGGAAGGCACAGAAGCGGGCATCGGCTCAACAGGGTAATTCCAGGCATTCAAGGGATCTCGACTTCCGTCGGGGTACGGCTAATACTCGCCCATCAATACCTGATTCCTGGGTTTAGCGCCCTCGGCGTTCTTTCTTCTCGGACGCATCAGATGGCAAGTCCCGGTATCGACTTGCTCCAGCTTGACTTTGGGCATGCTCTCTCTCCGGGTCTTTTCCTTTTTCAATTTCTTTTTCCCTTTTCTTTTTCCGTTTTAATGCTTGCTGGAAGGCGTTAAGGAACAGAACCACGGGCTGGGCTCGGCCTCACCCCCACCCCCTCCTTCCCTCCATCCACGACCCACGCCCCTCGAACCTTGACCTTAACACGCCTCTCTCCTCACACCCCTACACCTCGCCACCCCTCCTCCTTCCCGCACACCACCCACCCCTTCAAGGGATCAATCCATTTGGCCCTCTCCTTCCCACGCTCCCAGGTTGTTCCATTCAAAGTCCCGGTACCTTGAAGCACTGCGAGAAAACCTCGGTCAGCCTTTGTACCCTGGAACGGTAGACCGCAATTGTTCAGCATTTTTGGGGCAGTTTCCTCAAAGGAGAACATGGACGTATTCAGTGCCAGCCAAGCATCAATGATGGCAATGGGGAAAACGGTCGCACGCTGGTTCTCGACTCAGGTTGAGCGGCCAGACAAGACAGAACGAGACGGAACCGTCATCTCCCCCACATCTCTCAGCTTTCAGGGTGCACCTTGTCACATCCAGATGCAGCCTGCAAACAACCTGAACCGAGCTCGACCATGAAAACGTGACGGGCCTGTTCAGGATACCAGGAAAGGGCGTAGATGCCAAAGAGGAGAACGAGAGCCTTGCGAAGTCGTGCTCATGGAGTCATCAAGTCACATTCGCACATCTGGTGAAGATGACTTGTGGGCGTACGTCGAGTCCCATCGACGGAGCGGAGCATCGGAAGGCAGGAAAAGAACATTAAAAATTGGATTAGGGACAAACTAAAACGCCAGGCGTGGAACGGAAGGGGAACAAGGTTGCGGGTTGGCACACACCACGACTGAGAGCGGGATGGTCACAGCTCAATTGCACCCCGCCTTCCGTAAATGTCTTGTCTTCCCCAGCGCCTTCGGTTTTCTGGGCCACAGTACTCCGTATGGAGTCGCAGGTAGGTGATGTGATGTTCCGTACCGTTCCCCGTCCCTTTGGCTCTGCGCTTGAGAGCTCTGCCGTCTTTGTTTTTTTCTTTCATCTCTTTTTCCTTTTCTTTTTTCTTTTTTTCTTTTTTTTTCCGCCTGGCGCTTTCCACCACTTCTTCCACGCCTCATCCTAGTTTAGCCCCATCCAAGTACCGCACATCATGGATGTATAATATCGGCCAGTGTCTGTGATATACTCCGTGCTCTTCGTTTGATCCCATCATTACTCCATTTTCGTACAAGGTAGCTAAATCTCAGCCCGTGTGCGCTGTGCATATATACCTTGCGTCCATCCTCAACCTTTTTCCCACTTATACAGCTCATACTTTCGAGACCGAGCAGAGAAACTAAGACAAAAGAAAGCAAGGCCCTATCTCACCCTTTTCCTTCGTTGTCCTCTTCTTTGCTTTTCTTTCCATTCTCATCCTCTCACGACGCCTCTTGAAAGACATTGCTGCTTGCTTTTGCACGACGCTCATTTGCATTTTTTTCCCCTCTTCGTCCAGACAGTCATATCTTCGACCACCGCGCTCTCTCTCGCTCTCGTGCTCTCCCCCTCCTTCCCTTGTTGCCTCCTGACTGCAGCAAATCGACCTCTCGCAGCAAACACGCAGCAAGACAGGAACCTGAACGTCCATACACTGTCAGGCTCCTTCTGATACGATACCATTCGGCGGCTCACACGCCCCCTCTCCTGCACGCTCTGTTCTTGCAGCAAGCTCCAAGCCGTCGTGTCGCATTGGGCGCTGGCAATAACCTGTCGAAGGGTTCCATCGCCGAAAGACAGCCAACCCGCTCACTCCTCTATCGACTTGGTCACATCGTTGTAACAAGTCGAGTACTAGCGAGTAACCCTTCTCAACGGGGAAAAAGGCACCTACTCGCTGCCCGGGAGCGCTAAATTCAAGCTCTCCTCCATCTTGCACCAACCGCCAAACCCCCCTCTTCTTTCGAAGCTACCAACCATCACCATCTCGATTACCGATTGAAACCGACTTACTTGTCTTCCTTTCGTTTGCGTCTTTTGCGCCTAGATCGATTTGCTTCCTTCGCCCTTGACCACTCGCCCTTCGTCTCTCTTGATTCTCAGTAATCTCTAATCCTCTTATCCGCCAACCTTCAGCAACGCAATCTGCTGTCAGATTTAGTCCTCGGTTCACCGCCGGTATATGTAGCCACCCGCTTCCATCACCCAACTGAGCTTTATCCGGGAAGTGTTTAGGACCAAGGATAGACGTGGCTTCCTAACGCCACCAATACCGTCGAAACCCTCGCGACTTGGCTGAAATCATTCACCGGCTTAGTGGCACATCAAGATCTCGCCTTCTTACAGTATTGGGAGTCCCCTTGAAGAACATGGTCAACGAACCATAACGACTTTTCCCCGAACATAGCTACTCCGCCACCTACTTCCTTTCCAAAGCGCTTCTTGTTTGTCCCCTCGCTTCGGTGACGTCTTTTCTGTAAGTTTGCTCCCCAAACGTCTGCCCATCACCCATGCCACGGCCTTGTTTCGGATGCCTTCTCCATGACATGGCCGCAGGCGCCTTTCACGTTCCACTCCCTCGCTACTCCACCCTTCGCTTGCTTTCTCTTGTTCTCTTGTCCGTTCGACCAACACTGCCTTTCTCCTTCCTGCTCCTGCCCGTGTACCCGGCATTTGGCACACGAGACCCCGCGTGCTCCGGGTTGTGACGACAGGAGCATTGTCTTGGCAATTGAATTTTCATTTTTTAACATGATTGTCCGTTCACAGGAAATAGGAAACTCGGCAAACTTTGAGCACGATAGGACGACCATCAACCATCGACCTCCTACTTCTTCGTGTGCACTCTCCCTCCTGCATACATGTCGTTTACGGCCGTCGAGTCTATCCCAAGACATACCTTTGGCCTTGCAATGGTGGACACAATGGCCAGACCCGTGAACGGATGGATACATGAGCCACCCTACGGTGCTGCGAGGCACGTAGGCGCATCCGGTTACTACCCATCTGAGCAGGCCTCAATGCGCTTGCCACCCCTTCTAGCCTCATGTCCGGCGCTCCCAGCGGCCATGAGTCCCCGACTTCTTCCACAAATAACAATGCCATGGCGCCCACTGGTGCTGGCTCCCACCCTCCACCACCTCCTCCCCTTCACACTAGCGTAAAGCCATCATATGGCTATCACGACTACCAAACACCGTCTCCTATCCAGCAGTCATCCCCACAACTTCTTCCGCCCACAAGCCAACCTCACCACATCGCCGCCCTCGCCCATCAGAAGCGCAATCCCATCCAAGATCTCGCACGCGTCTCTCCCACCCTTTCTTCGACAGCAAGCGAGAGGTCAGCCGAAGACTTCCAGGATGCCCGGATCTCGCAAGGTCCCATGCCGCATCTTCCCAGGATACAACAGCAACAGCCTCCCCAAGTCTACCAACAGCAGCAACCGATCATGCGCCCGCATAAGAGGCGATCCGTCGAGGATCACTACTCCGATGTGCACCCCTCCAAGCTTCCGCCAACATACCCCCAGACCCCTCGCATGCATCAAACTCCCCAGCCCTCCAGTCCTCAACAGAGCCGCCAAGCGTGGTCACCGAGGCCAGAGATTAAGACGGAACGTGTGAAGATTTCGGATCTTTTGAGCAGCACCGCCGAAGAGCCTCAACCGCGACCTCAACGGAGCAGTGCTGTGCCTCAACCACCGATGCCTATAACCGGCCTTCAAGCGATCAAGTCGGAATACCGCATTACAGTCCGACAGCAGCCCGTAGCAGCCCGCTCCTGCGGTTTTGGCGAAAGGGATCGCCGTGTCATTGACCCGCCTCCCATCGTGCAGCTCACCATCGAAGACCCTAACCTCTCTAAAGAGGAGATCAGCCAGCGTATTCGGTACCCCTTTTCGGTTATGCACTGCTCGATCTGGGATTCCACGGGGAGCAAGATAACTCGGCAATGCCTGAAGATTACCGCCAGCAGCGACGGCTCATGGGTACCCTGGTCGCATCACCCTTTGTGGGGTTCGACGAGAATGGCGAGGAGGGCTGCTTCTTCTGCTTCCCCGATCTGTCTTGCCGCACTCCGGGATCCTTCCGTCTCAAATTCGTCCTTGTTGTCATTGACCCCATCGCCAGCACTCAGCTTGGAGGCAAGAAATTTCCCATCATGGCGGAGGCCATGAGCGACGTATTCACTGTCTACAACGCCAAAGACTTCCCCGGCATGCAAGCGAGCACTCCTTTGACGAAGAAGCTCAAAGAGCAGGGTTGCCTAATCTCCATCAAGAAGGGCAACGAAAAGCCCGGACCTGGTGCCCGCGATGACACCGACGAGGACGGTGACGAGGGAAGCTCTAGTGGAAGGAGGAAGAGGGCGCGAAAGAATTAGCTTCCCTTTCTATACTCGAACCACCCTGTCTTGCTTTTTTTTTTCTTTCAGTCCATGGCGAGACTCCCTACTCCCGATATTCCCAGGCGGCATTGTAGAAGCCATCGGCGCCCTCGGACCAAACCACGGCGGTCATGCCGAGGCATCTCGTTGATCCATTTTCCTTTTCGTCCAGCTGACCTAAAAACTGGCGGTTTATTTTCATTATACCCATATCTATCTCGAAATAGAGACCGGCGGCGGTGGTTTATGGTATGGTAAATGGTACAGGCGGAGAGTTTTCTCTTGGTTTTCTTTCTCATGATGGATGATTTTCCCCCTCTCTTTCTTTCCCGTTTCTACTTGACTCTTCTTTGCTCATCTTTAGGCTGTTCGTCACGCTTTATCTTTTTTATTCCTCCTTTTGTTTCTTTTTTTTGGTTGGGTTCATGGCAATATAGACTCCCCGGTTCTGGGATGTGGATGGTCAAAGGCGGTCACTGTTTTCCGGCGAAGGTCGGGTTCTCATCATCTTTGGATGGTTTTCTGGGGCACGGAGGGCTTTCCCCCTTTTGGAGGGTCTTGCGCAAATAAGCGGTGCGAAATCCGCACACGCACACGGATATCATATACACATTTCTATATATACATACAAATCAATGGTCAATCGATCTTTTTATGATTATCTAGACTCTTTACTCGTTGCATCGCGTCACATACAAGGCTGGCTCTGTCTCTTCTCGTCCTCGTGGTAGCTCGTTCGTGTTTGTGTGATGAGATCTAGATTTGGTTGGAGGAAAGGAATAACGACACAAGCGGCTTCCGATGCTACTCCTCATTCGCTTGGTTTTGCCGCTTCTTTGAAACCCATACTTATATTCGGATATCCAGTCTCCAGACTTTTGGTTTTGGGCCTTATAATCCAGGGCTGGCGCGACGCTCGAGGCAGTCAAGAAAAGTTGGAAAAATTAAACGAGGGATATATATTCAGAAGAAGGACCCCTATCCAACAACAGGTGAAACAAATGCAACAAGAAATAATAATAAAAGAAGAAGAAGAAGAAGAAGAAAGCATATGTACGTAAAGTCGAGGGATACACCCACATACAAACACCCTCGCCCGCGATCCCACTCGAGCTCCATTCCCGTGCTCCCTTTCCCATCACCTTATACAATTGAATCTCCCGTCTGCCATCGCCGTCTCCAGCTACTTCCTGCCGAACCGTGGGTCTCCAGGGAGCGAAGGAAGAAGAGTATAGCAAGAAAAAAACAGATAGGAAACGTTGCGTCATTCGTCATGTATATCCATGAGTGCCATATGAATCACCCAGCCGTGGCGACATGTGTTGAAGTTCGACCTGCGAATCGAGAGGGTCGGTCGTCTGGGGGCATCATTGATTCTAGCGAACATGGCCATCGTACGCCAGAGTGCCATGATTTTCCTTGTACCCTTCCCTTTTTCTTTCTTTCTTTCCCCATCTTTGCAATAAAAATCCCTCTATGGCGCCGAGTCATCACTTGCTGCATGCTAAAAATATGGTGGGATATGGGTCCCGAAAGAAGACTATACCACGATTAGATTCCATGGAATCCACCCGCCCCTCGGCCGTAGGCGGTCCAATCCGTTCGAAACCGTTGAGCGGCCATGATTTGCTGCTGCTGACGTCGAAGCTGCTCTGCCCTATTCTGCTGGCTCGCCTGGCCTGCGGGTGCCGGGGCGGCGTTGGAGGAAGAGGGTGGCCTTGGTGGCCACCCTCGTTCGATGCATACATGGGCATGGGCATCTCTAGGCCATGCTGAGCTTGGTCAAGCATGAAAGGCGGCATCTGGCCGAGTAGCTGCGACTCAACATCATCAAATGGGCCGGGCATGAAAAACTGAGACGTATCATGGTGGCCTTGACCTTGCATCCCAGTCTCTTGGCCAATCTTTTGCTGGAGGCCAAGTTCCATCATGGGCTGGTTAGGGTACGCAAACGGGTCTTCCGAGGGGAACATCAAAGCATCTAGTTTGTTAAGCGAAGCTGAGCTTGGATTCTGATTCGTAGCGTAGCCAGGTCCTTGGTGAATACCCGTGCCGGCGGTGCTTGTCGAATCTGGAGTGGCCCTCGACGTGAGATCAAGGGAAGCAAGTCTTGCAAGCTGGCGGGAAATGCTTCTGGGTGAAAGCCGGATCCAGGTAGAGATGCACCGTCGTATGACGCTCTCGAGGCGACGGAGGGGGGATGGAGGCGCCAGACAGAGATCTCGCTTGGTGAGGCAGTTCATCGGATCGCCTTTGAACATTGGAAAGGCTGGGTGCCTCGTCCTTAGAAGTCATCGGTCGCTTCTTGGACGCTTGCCGGGGAAAGGGAGGTCCATCTGCTTCGGTAGTTCCTCGAAAAGTACCTGGAAGAACTCAACTCAAACATTAGAAGGGTCGGATAGAGAGGGGCGCAGCCATGCGTTAAAGGGGGCTCACGTTCAGGGCCTTTGTCACCCGCGCTGCGGCAAGACTGGCGTCGACTAGGTCCGCAATCATGTTCCTGCCCGCGATAGCATCCGCTAACACCTCGCTTGTGCCATTCTTCTGTGGGTTTTCCGTCGCGTAGAACACAAGTGAGAGCACGGCAAAGAACTCCGTATATAGCATGAACCAGTACGGCCCGATGAGAACGCCCTGTTTCCGAATCTCGATACCTATGTGCACTATATTACGGGATACGCTGATGGCTGCAGCTGCGCAGGCGTATGAGAGATCGTCCACGTTTTCCCCGACTCAGCCTTGGGGAGACGTAGTGGAGGAACGGTCGATACAAGACGAGCTGCACGTGTGCATAAGCAAACCGGAGGAGATGACGGATTCTGATTTCGCGCTATTAGAAGAGAAAGTGGGAAATGGGGGAAAAACGTCGCTTATATGACATGGTAGGCTACCACGCCCCTGCCATGAAGGGAGCGGGCAAAGCTCTGTTTAGAAAGGGGGGCACTCACCGAACAACCTCAACAGGACCGTCCGCGCTAGGGCGCCATGTTTCCGGGAGGTTTTCATACCACTCATGCAAGTCGTTTTCGATCTCCCGGATCCTAGAATAGCTGATGATATACGTTGTATTGTGAGCATTTGAGCCTTTTCCTGACAAAGGTGCCGTTTGGTCCAATCCCTGCGTTGGATACACATGTCGGACAATCTTCGCCAGGATTTCCATCAGCCGAGTGTGAGCATTAAATGCCTGGAAAAGAGATGGCGTGCCATTCGGAGGCGGGCGCAGGCCTTCGTTCGTGATGTAAGCGTCGTCGATTTCGCTGGGATACCGCTGGTCAAAGTCCTCGCTGCGAAGCAGCAATGGAAAGCCCAGAAGCGTCGAAACGTAGATATCCATCTGCCGGATGACGTAGAAAACCCTCCGGCGCGTCTCCTGCTCGATGGGAGAGAGCATATGATGCTCAATGTGGCGGTGAAGACCCATGCGCAGGGCTGATCGCAGAGCAATTCCGAGGAACGCGTAGCACGCACTGAGATTCGACGTTGCTTGGAGAAACAGAATCATGAAAACCAGCGCCTGTAGGGATGTAACGTCACGGCACTCCGCCAGGTCCCTCAGTACACTCTTTGCACAGTTGTAGTAGCGCAGCCTAGATATATTCAAGAAATCTGTCAGTAAGTTCAGGCATCGTCAAAGGAACGTTGGAAAAGCCATACCCTTCCTGCAATGCCTCTCGATATGCCAACTTTTGGGGCTTCTCCGGATCCAGATTCCGATACATGCAGCCGAGGGCCATGATGGCGTAGAGGAGAGCTAGAAAATGGTACTCTTCCCGTTCGAGGGTGTCGTAAGTCTTTTCATATACAACATCCAGCTGCTTATAGAAAGATGGCAAGTGGACGAGTCGAATAAGACAGGTCGCGCAGTTTAGCGAGTAATAACATAAATCTTTGATTTCTTCCTTTGACAGGAGTTCCAACGAGAGAGACGATGTTGATTCGAACGGTGAACTCGCACCAGACTGCGGTGAATCGATGTGCATGAGGCCGGGAGGCCGTTCTGGGCGAGGTAAGAAAGGGACTTTCTCCTGGGGTCCGAGCATCCCACGGAAGTGCTCCTTCATCCGGCGAAGGAAGACTGCTCCTGAGCTCGCCCCGTGAAAGTCCCAGCCCCCTTGTCATCAAGATCAAGCTGGCCGATCGACTCAATCATAGACATGATTTGTCCTTCTTCGCCATCCGTTTCGCCTCCAGAATGCGGCTGCTTGAGTTTAGCAGCCTGTGACCGCGCGAGCTCTCGATTTCGAAACTCTTGTTTGACGGCTGGATCCAAATCAGGGTCTGAGAGGTCGACATTGGGCACGTATTTGCGCAGCATAGATTCTGCACGCTGCAGACGATTCTCGAGGGCTTCTATGTATTGCGGCGCCGGGTTTCTTCGCCGATTCGACGGCTTATCGTACGTGCACTCTGGATGACAACATTAGTAACCTGCCTTGTTTGTTGTCTGCGGGTCCTATCGGATGAGTAGAGTATCGCCTCCTGCCCGGCCTGTCCTCCTCCTCGGGCGAAACCTACCATAACTATAAACTGAACAGTGAGTGCAAGGCTGCTTTCCGTCACACTTGATCTTTTTCCGGCGGCACTCGTCGCATGCGCGAGTAACGCGGCGCCGTTTTTGAACGGGCAGCGTGGGCAGAGTGTCGTCGCCATCTTTGCCTTCGCCATCGGTGCCCGACTTGCCACTTCCAGTCGGCGACGTTACGCTGCCGTCTCCGCCAGTAATCAGGTCATGGTTCGATCCGATCCCAGTGGGCTCGTCCTCGGACGCCTCCGGCGACGTAGGAGACTGATAGATGTTAGTTGGAGAGATTTGAGGGAGGCGAGGGGGCGCGGATGCCTAGATGGCGCGCCCTTCAACATACCATTTAACAGAACAAGCGCACTTGCCGTTTCCCGCTTGATAGGATTGGTTTCTTGATAGCCTGGTCTCGATGATCCCGTAGATGACGACGGGAGCATATCCAAGCGGGGATTACGGCGAGACACCTCTCCAGAAGGAGAGAGTCAGCGTCAGGATTCGTCGCCCGACCGACACAACGCCCGGCACGGCCACGAAACGTAGAGTTCCGACGATGGAAGTTTTGACTCTTGGCGAGATATGTTTATTGCAATAATAGTAACCACGCACACCAAACGCTGGGATTGGGGGAGCTGCGTTGACGGCAAAGTTTACGCGGGTAAGAATTCGAATAGAATAGGGATTTAGTAAGACGAAAGAAAGGGTGGGGGGTGATGGGTCAGTAGGAAGCTGTCAAAATTAAAGCTGGACTAATGTGCCAGCCAGGGAGTGTCGAGAAAGAGACCAAAGATCATGCAGTAGGCCGCATGCTTTGAAAAGTACCGGAAGAGGACTGGGCGTGCTTGACTCAGAATGTGCGAAGGAGAAGAGGAGGCCGCCGCCAACCGTGGCGGAGATGGAACCAAGGCTATAGGGCAGATATTGACAGCGCAGCAGTGGGGTAGAGTCAAGACCAGGAGGGTGGGTTGCGGTGGTGACAAAGTCTTGTCTGGGGATTTACGTCAAATGTCGAAGGTGAGATATGTACCACCACCCCCGACAGACAAGGCTGGGCGGAAAGAAAGGTCGTGGGTGCTGGGGTTGAGGGGGATATGTCACGTTGTCGTCCTCGTTGAAGAATAACACGAAAGGCGCATGAAGAATCTTAGGTGGTCCTTGTACGAAGGGCGGATGGCGCGGATTTCAAGAACGGTGGTTGTATAAGTTGGGCAAGGTTTTGGAGGTTGAAATCGTGCAGTAATGGGATGGGAAGGAGTAAGTCGAGGAGAAGAAGGATCGATAGAGGACGAGAGGGAAGACTACGGACGAAGAGACTCTTGGCGCAAGCAAAGAGCAACCGTAAGTCGGATTGGGGAAGGAAGAGAGGGATGGAAGGGGGGCGCGGATACTTTCATCAGCTGCACGCCTACAGGTAGAGAGTAGTTCCACCAGCCCTGCTCGCAAGGCGTCAACAAAGTTGAAGAGAAAGACTCAACTACGGATTACGGATCAATGGTACTTTGGGGTACACGAACAAGGTCCTCGAATATGAGGAACTCACGACCGACCCACTGTATCTTCCCGGCCTGTTTGGACATCCTCTTCTTGAAGCGACAACGGCGCGGGAAAATCGGATGTCTAGTGCGAGAAGGACCAGTGATGTTTTTAGTGAAGAGAGGGATGGGGTTCAAGGGGTGCCAATGCTCCGGACTCCGGCACGACAAGCTTCCCGGTCCTAGTGCTCAGGGGAGCGTGCTGGGACATGGATATGTGAGGTATGGACCAACGCCGGCCCAGAGATCAGATACACCAGAAACCAATCCAGGTACAAAAGACAGTGATCCCGACAATTGTCCATACTGTATGAGGTACTTCTTTCGTGCAATCAACTTGATGCGGAACTTTTCCTTTCGGAGTTAAAAACATGACAAAGGAAAAAAACCCCGTCGGTGGCCTGGGCTCCGAAGTAACACCTGGGAACCCTCGCGAATCTCTGCAGCGAAAGGAAAGTCATCGGGACGTGGGCGGGGTGTTGTGTTGATCGGACTGTCCAGACGCGATGCAGCATCAAGTTTGGGAGGGGAGGAAGCGCCGATGGATGGATATCCGCCTCTCACATCTTGGTCCTGACTTCATCGGTAAGAGAAGGCGGCCAAAGGAAGCCCAGAATAAGGAGGGTCTTTTTCCAAGCAAACCCACAAAAACTTCGCCGTTGGTCAGTCGATGAACCGGAGCGGAGTCTAGCACGGAGACTAACTAGTGTAAGTGCCACTCTTGCAAGGGCCCTCCCCCTTTCCCTTGAGCGAATGCTGAATCCTACCACGCCCTCGGGTCGTATTATCCACGATGCTCTGCTCTTGAGGGACACTTGCTTGTGGTCCCATGGCACATGGCTGTTCGGGTATATTAATAATTCACAATCTTTAAAGAGAGACAATTTGACAAAAGCGCAGCCGCCACTCTCTGGTGATCCCTGTAGGTTGGATGCTGGGTTACCTGGACAAGATAGATGTCCAAACCATTTGGATGGCGGAGGAGATAAGACTACATATTATCAACATCTACATAAGACAATGTTGTCTTTGAGAGGCCCAGAGAAGGGGTCGAGGGAAATGGTGATTTAAGGCGTCATCCGTCGATTTGGCTGAGAAGAGAGAGAGAGAGTCTTGTCGGCATCCAATGTCGTGGGTTAGTGGCACTGGGAGCTCTTTCAGAGGTGTAGTCCGTACAGTGCAGCCTCGCTTCTCCCTAACTGTTGGACATTGGTGACATTTTGCCGTGGAGGTGGCGAGGCTGGGCGGAGCCGAAAGAAAGCCGCCAGAAGTTTCAATGTCAACGAGGCGAAAATAGAGCCCCCGCTCTCAGTGCAGGTTGTCTCTTCCACTGATTACATGCAGGGCCGCATGTTGGAAAAGAAAAACGGGAGAGGAGGAAAAAAAAAAAAAGAAGAAGAAAAAAAAAAGGCGAACCGGGACAGTAACGCGGGACAAGACTAAGAGGTCAAAAAAGGTAAGCGCCCTTGATCGAGAATGCGCGTTTTGCTCTAATTAGGGCCCCCTATTCGAAGCCAAGTCTCCGTTCCAAAACAGACTACGTCACCGATAAGCCCCAGAGGACCTTTTGGACTTTCTGCGATTGAGCCAAATTTTTCATGGGTAATATCAAACGCAGATGAATCCGGCGGACGAAGGAGTGGTCGAGTTCGTACTCGGGGTCGGGGCCGTTATCCTGACGAATTCTCTATCATTTTGGCTCGTGATCTCGAAAAAGAGGAGGACTCCCTGACCATTTCTGTGTCTCTCATTTACGTTGCACAAAATAAGCTCGCGCATGCCTCCAGAGCTCTTTGCGCTGAGAGGACGAGGATGAAGAGAGAAAGGGCACAAGCAGAGGATGGATAAAAAACCCCGGGCCCTCACGCCTGTACATGGGATGGCGTTGAAAGGATTCCCCTTCCCTTCCACAGGTGTGGGCAACGACCCGATTGTGGAGGCTGCAGGACTCGACACGGAGTTGAGAGGTCCCTCTCGTCCAACCCCTCCCCCACCTTCAGTGCGCCGGGTTTGCGGACACCGTGCAATGCAATACCAACATAGGTGGATCGAGGTACTGCCAAAGGATCCCTGACGAATTTTTTTTTCCTCTTCCTTTTCGGCGCGGGGATTTCCTCAGTGTCCAGGCTTTGTTGGCCTGGTCTGTCGAGCCAGCTCCCGAATATGTAGAGGGCTTTCCCTTTTCTTTTGTTGTTGGTGACACTAGAATGAGATAGACTATGGTGCAGGTCCCAATTAACCATCGGCCTAATGCTTCTTTCTCGGAATCGTCAATTGGCCCAAGTACTCGGTAGATGGAGAGGAAATGCAATGGTGGAGGATGTTATGCCCTGGCACACATCCCCGATTTGCAAAGAATGGGATCCCTCATCAGCACCCAAGGTTCGCTTTGAAGCATCAGCGTGAGACAAAGACCGGGCTTCCGTCTCAGTTGGATCGACAGAGGGTCTTCGAACCATTTGCAGCCTTGGCTGCCTGAGGAATGTTGCATTCACACACTTCTTCATCATGCTCTGTCCTTTATTTTCTGTCTGTCTTCTCTCCCTTTTCCGCTCTCCAAGGGTTCAGCGAGGAGGCCTCTCCTTCCCCGTCTGTGCATCAGGAATTGGGAACAGACAGTGCATGCACTGTGAAAAATCGGCCGTATTACCCAAACCCTCGGCAGCAAAGGTACCCGTTAGCGCTGGCGGTCGAACTTTTGTGCTGCATGGGATGTCGCCTGAAAAAAAAGGGTGTTGGAGACAGAGCCAGTCCTGCACGGTTACGCAATTGGGGCCCTCTACACATAAAATCCGATTCCCCGCTTCTATTTTGTTCAAACTTGGGCTCATTAGGCTGAGCTAGCCCATCTGCTGAATCGTCGGTTGAAGGTACCTCAACTTAAAACTGGTTAGCCTCCGTCGAGACGGAACGAAGGGTCGAGAGTTCCAGTTCACCCTCCCTTTTCGAGGACGGACGTGGGTTGGATTAATATAAATAGAACAGAGTCTCTTTACGAAGGTCCCTTTGAACGATGTCCTTTTTAACAGCCGGCGCAATGAAAAGGACTAGCTCGTGGGCGGGGAAGCGGCGGTGGTGATGGTGGGGGCCAGACAAGACTTGGCATCGCGATTTCTGAGAACGTTGGCGACGGGACCGAGACCAGGCGCTCACTCCCGAAATATAGACAGCAGCACCTTGATCAAGTTCACGTACAAGCATTATTAGCAAGCATCCGCATTCGCAAAGGACGGAACGAATAGCATGGGGGAGAAGGGACGACGCTAGCTCTGGGTTGTACGGGGCCGCGTCAGGACGTGACCAAAGGGTGCGAGCCCAAAGCGAGTCGCATTTCAAGCCGTCGCTTTGCTCGATATTGGGAAGAGAAAACACGACGGCAAGCTTAGCTTCAAGAAAATGAGAATGGCTGAAATTGGACGCCCCGTTCCCGGTCTGGAACACACTGGGGTTAGGCCTGTCGGCTCCGAAAGCCTCAAGGCGGCACTCCACTGACAGGGGCCCATGAGGGTGTCCCCTGACGGAGTACTAGACTTCCTCCCTCTGGTTCCACATACTGTATCTGTTGGTCATGGCAAAGTAGCTCCTTCTTTATCAGTTCTTTTGTGTTTTTCTCTCATTCTTTTCTCCCTCCCTTCCCTTTTCTGTGGGGTGGAGGCCTATGGCGGCGGGCGGGCTGCGTCCTCAATTGAACTTTCACGCGTAGCCTTCAGGATGCGTTGCCTTTTTCCCCCTTGTTAATTCTTTCCCCTTTCTTTGCTTGGTAGAGCTTTCTTCTTTTGTTCTGCCTATGCCTGTGCTCCCGCGTCTTCTGTCTTGTTTTCCGCTTGTTTTCTTGCCTTTGTGCTTTTTCTTCCTTTATTGTTTTATTTTATTTTTCATTCCGTAGTCGTCCGGTCGGCAGACTTTATCCCTTGCTGACAGACTTTTTTCCCCTTGTTCTGATATCAATTGGTGACTCGATGAGACGACTGAGATCCACTGACGTACCCCTGGTGAGCGGCTTTCTGATTTTGTGGATGTTTGTGTCCAGAAAGCGTTTAGCGCCGAACCGGTTTCTGCAGCAGGTCCATCTAGCCCACGCCTTTCCATCGAAAATGCTCGAATCCTACTGGATATCGCCATTTACTTCCCTGTCAAGAAGAGCCGCTCCGTTCTGCGCGCTGTGGTGTATAGTATCAATACTTTTCTGTACTCGGTACCCTCACCCTCTCAACCAGACCACTCTTTCGCGCGTACGTGGGAACGCTTATCGCCGAGGCCGAGAGCGCGAGGTCTCGCCCGGAGATGGCTCCAACCAGGGCTCTTTGCGAGTTTCTCCTCCACTCAGGCAACCTGTCACCACAGTGTACAGTCAATGCGAGTCAGCGTCCTCCAGTCCCCCATCTTCACCTCTCGGACACTTCTGATACTGCAAGCCGTGTTAGGTGGCAATAGCTGAAGCCGCACAAGGTTGAGAGGACAAGCTTTCGCGCCGCGCCCGGGCTCGATTTGTGTTTCGGTTTTAGGCCTTGTTGCACCTTCGATAAAAGAAAGAAAAAGAAAAAGAAAAAAGAAAGAAAAATTGGAATAATCTTCGTCTAGCTCCTTGCTTCGACCGGCTTTTTCGCCTACTCAATGCCTGAATACCTGTGTCTTCTGTCTCTTGGGCCTAGACCCCAACTAACCGCCACTCACCACTGGAGGCGGAAAAGGCGGAGCCCACAACGTCAACGACTTGTTGCTAGTTTCTCCTGCCCTCCAACCCAGTCCCGACAACAATATGGCGCGCCTCGGCAAATTAGAGCATGGCGCCAAGAACAGAGCAACGTGGGAGACTCCGCGGGGCTAGTATCTTTTTGTTGGTCGCTGTCCCTCCCTCCAAAGGTCAGCAAAATTAGATGACTCCATGTTCTCCTCCATCCCCTCCCCGCCGGGTCCCCAGTCCCTAATAGGGGAAGGGAAATGGTCGAGCACCGGAGGAAAGAAGAAAAAAGAAAAAGAAAAAAGAGCCTGACAGGGGTATGGGGAAGGCGGCCAGGGGACAGCTCTGAGGTATGAGACGCTAAGAAAATGGATGGGGCACAAATGTCTTGGCATACATCAGAGGTGCATGTTCTTTCCCAGGGAACGAATTCCGCAGATGACCAACCTAACTTCTTTGATGTCTTGGCATTGACGCACCCGTCGCATCCTACCCCAAGAACCCCACCGGGGCTGCCGTCTCCCAGCACCATCCGTTTGCGATCATGGTGTGCACACTAAAGGGACGAACGGACCCTGAGTATACCCTATCCGGCCCCAAGACCCTCTTTTCGATATCCTCGCCTCTCGAACACGGGCCTCGGGATTCCTCGTCACACAAGACCAAAGGGAGCCTCGTCAAAGAGCGCTGTTCTCCCTTGCGCTCCGTGATCTCGCTCCGTTCACCATTTGGGCTACCCGTGGGGAAGGGCGACCGGAGATTGAAGGGATTTAAGGAGAATCGCACAAACTCCAGCCTCTCTTTTCGATGCGATGCCGGCCAGGATCTTTAGCTTGCGCTGATCTTTTCCTCTTCATTCTCTTCGACCGCTGCCCCTCCATCCAATTCCACATCCTTCAAAGCCACCAGAGGCCCGCACACCGTTAACCCTGAGCGAGATTCTGGGCGCAATGGTTCAAAGCAGTAAACGGCAAGCTTGGATGGAAGCGGGCTCATCACACCGGGCTGACTCAACTCCTAGCCGCATGGTGGTTTACCCGGGCGTTCTGTGTCGTCGCTCTTCGTGTGGCCCGGGAGAGGGAGGGGAGGCCGTCTGCTTCAATTCACTTATGACTAACAACAATCAATCGTCGATAATCACTCAATCCCGTTTTCTCGAACCAAGAAACACAAAGCCTTGGCCTTGATCTTGCCAATAGGACTTACATGGAGAAGACAGCGGCAGGGCCAATCTGTCTTGCAAGTCGTGGCTTGGCATGTCGACCCAGACCTCGACTGAGCACTTGGCGCGGTCTTGGCACACGGCAGCATTGGCTGGTGAGACCTGCAAAAGCCTCCAGCTCAATGCGAATGGTTGAATTCTCCCACGGCCAAGATTCTTCTTGAAAAAGCCGTCGCAAGCAGACCTGTTTTGTCCCACACGGCCTAGCCGATATGAGCATGCAAGCGCTGCACAAGATTCAGGTGATGGCCGGGCCAAGCTGAGCTCCTCTCTTCTCCATGTCTCTCTCGCTTGTTTTCGCCGCGCGTTCGCATAGCTCGCACTGGCATTTAGGTATGGGGGAGGGGGTTTCTCTTTCTTCTCTTTGCCTTTTGCAGCAACAAGAGGCTTCATACAATGAGGGAGTTTTGTCGCATCTCCTGCATAAGAGGGGAAGGGGAGGGCAGACGCTCCACACCAAGCTGAGCATGTCCACTCTCTTTGAATTGGGTATGCAAGGTGTGCGGTAGGCCGACGACGGAACGGCGATTGCTTGCCGCACATGCACACATCCAGCGTATGAGACACCAAAACTCTTCTGTGACGATGACAGGAAGGGCGGGACGAGGCCATTAACCTAAAAAGAGGTGTTCACGCACCTTAGTTTGCACCGCCCTATATGGCGCGCGGGTTATTATAATGTTGCCTTCCGAAGAGCGCCGGCCTCAGTGAGCTCAGCGGACAGAGTACTTGTACTTGATCGGAGCGTGACATTTCCCCAGCCGCTCCCAGCGCACATCCCCCAACCCTGATCGCGTCGGGATAGCGGCGAATCCTCTGATTGCGAAAACTAATGGTGCTTCACCGCCGCTAATGGTACCTTTTGCTGCACACGCTGACGTATGTTGCGTTGCCGTGGGTGTCATGGTTGACGGGCAGTGGGGCATCGCCGGCAGCATGGTTCCCTCGTGCTGGTACATGTATTGGCTGTGGGCATGGGCTGCTGATCACACGCGACTGAGCTGGCCTGACTGCATCCGATCCACATTCCCCATGGTGAATCTCAAAGAAGCCGAGCTAGCATTCGTTCTCTTCCACGGCTTTGTTTTCGTCGGCGCGCCTCGAAGAATCTAGCTCTCAGCCTCCCCCTGCCCCTAGGGCCCCTTTTCCTTTTTCTTTCTCGACATGATATCACATACTAGTACCTGATGATGCTTTCGCCCGAATTCCTTCTTCGGGATAGTGGTTTGGATTTCGCATCCGTTCTCGGGCCTGTTTCGCGTGTGGTCTACGTCGGATAGATTAAACAATAGCTTTCATCAGCTCATCCGCCTTCTATTTTTACTAAGGATTTCATTTGGCATTGCGTTCTTCTGCCTTTCTGCCTCCTTCTGTTGTTTTTGCCCACTTTCGGCGGCTTCGTACAAATCATTTACGGGTGGTGGCAAAGCCCTTTTTAGCCATGGGTCATTTGTGGTAGGCAAGTAGGGTGGATGCTGAAATTTGAAGGCGAAACAGAAACCGGAATCTCTGGTTGAAGGATGCGGTACAAGCCCACGAGGGCTGACCCAAGTGGTTCAAAAGGCTGCAGCTCGCATCCATCCCTGAAGAGTATAAACGAGCCGGTACATGGTTCAGACGGCCTCAGACCGGGTGCCGGCCAACAAACGAGCGGACCGGGCAGCGAAGCGAACGACGCGTTAGGCCGCAAGGGACCGCGACGATCAATCTGGAACACTCCCAGTATTGTGCAAAATTTGAGCACTCGTGACACCCGAGAACACTAGAGGAGCGGACTGGAAAATAGTGAACGAAGAAGGGAGGGGAAAACGAGAAGAGAGAAAATGTGTGAGGGGAGACCAAGAGCGAAGAACAAAAGAGCGAGGTTGTACAAAGGGGGTGGGTATGAATTCGAGGGGGGATGTCGGAGGTGAGGTGTTTAGGAGGGGGGTTACCCCATAGACCCCATAGACCCTCGCGTCGATCAATGGCGTATGAGTAACTTGAGACTGCTGTGTTGGTTGTTCAATCCCGACGGGAAGGGCGGTCACGTATTATTACGTTGAAGGTTCTCACGAACATGTGCGTGCTATTGCGCTAGCCATGGCGAGCCAGCCATGAAGGGGGTTGATAACACTCTGGAAGGCGCATTCGCCGGGCTTCCTTCGCCGGGGAATCGGGAGCTTAGCCCAGAAAAGGAGGAGCGAGGTCTGAGGTTCCATCAGCAATGTGTACGCGCACACTGGCCCCTTTGCCAACGATGTCCATGTGCCTGCTTCCTAAACCATTGTCTTTCTTCCCCTTCACTTCGCTCGCCCCATTCCCCAAGGCCGCCTTTGAGCTGCAACCGAATGCAACAGGGGCCGTGACAAATCGAGTCTGACCGGCTTGGTTAGAGTCACAGTTGGGATTTCTGCACCATTTGATCCCCAGCGTCCATTGTGCTCTGCTCGAGAGGAGTGTCTAGTTCACATGGTTCATCTGTTGTTTATCTTGCACTAACACTCCTTTTCAATTCACCTCATTTGTTCCAGTCTACCCAGCGATGCTACTTTTCTTGAAGAAGTTTCTTCTCTTTTTCTCCCTTCTTTCCCGAGAGATCCATTGGGTGGCTGCCCCTTTGAGGGAGCAGGCACAGTAGAAGCGTGCCGAAATAAATTGGGTTAAGGAAAATGTAGTACTTCGTACGATTGAGTTGCATCAAGCCCTGTGGAGCTAAGGATTTAGTGGGTTCAGTTGAAAGACCCGTTGATCGACTGGGTGCACAGAGGTCCCCCACCCCCACTACGCACTCCTGCTCTTCAAACCAACAGATGAGCATCAATATCGCGCCGGGAACACCAGGAGATATCAACTGTGACCGACGGGAGGTTGAGGATCTTATGCGGAGCGCTCTCCGCCTGTTACATCCACTTTGCTATGTTTTGGTCAGAGCTGTTAGTCGTATGCTTGGTGGTTAAGCGCTTGGGAACGTTTAGGAACGTCCAAGGTGTGCCTTGACGTAATGATTCCACATCCAAATTTTAGAATGCCCGTTAGGCTAGGGACATTTCAACAGTTTGGTCGCAGGCGAATCCGTGAGTCGCCTTAGGTCCGTGCTCTTCAGCCTTCCTGAGGAACAGTGCGCGCTCCATATCCCGCCTAATCATGCTGAGGGAGTATCTTTTCTCTGGGAGTGCCTGGGAGGAGGGAGGCGCAAGGAGATGAGAGTTTATAGCTTCAAACGCATCATGGAGAGAGCATGGGTTTCTCTTCAAGGCCTTTCTTAGTCGGCGCTTTCACGCCCCCAGCCTTTCTCGGGGCATTAGGAGAGGGCGGGTGAGAGCTTTTGGTCACCGAAAAAAAAAAACCTCGGGGCCGGCAACATTCCTTGCCCCAGATCAAAGAGGAGCTTCAGCTTTGAGATCCAGGAGAGCTCGGCTCACATTGGCAAATTGTCAAGCCCAGACGCAAAGCTTATGTTCTGGCACGCAGGGGGTTTTGAACTGCAATATGATCTTCCGTGCATTTTGTGTGGGCGAGAGGGGCAACGGGCACATCCAACCCTGGCCGCCGTCTATTAGATCCTGCCCTTACGCGGCGGTATCTCGAGGGAAAGGTGAGCAAGAGGGTTCGAGGTTAGGTTGCCAAGGAATAATCCGCCATTGGCACGCACGGAATATGAGACATGGGGGAAGGCAACATTTTGAGATGGGAGACGAGAGGACCCTGGATGGGCACCGACACACTTTGAAAGGCGGGGAGATATCTTGGCGTAAGAAAGCGTTTTCAAACGTTGTATCATTTCCTACGCCAAGGAGGAAAACGAATGCTCTTGTTGAGAGGCATGACATCTGTTTGCAGGTGTGGAGAACTGCCCACGATCACAGCAGGCCTTTTACCCCACCAACCAACCAGAACCCCTCCTCTGCAGGCTGCAGCCCACTTGACAATTGGGAACAGAGAGCTCTTCGACGATCACTTCCAGAGCTCCGTGGCTCGATCCGATACCTGAAAAGAGCTCAGCTACCCGAAGCGCGAGGCGACCGCGAATTACTCGACACCCTACCATTTCCAATCTGCAAGTATGGAAGCCACCGAGGCCGCAAGCAAGGTTGAGGCGCTCTTCGTAGAGTTGGCGAATCAAGGCCGAGCCGTCGTGCGTGGTATGGGAACAACCGTCCCCGCCCCTTTTTTGCCCCAACAAACGCGTCTTGCGCCACGCGTGGAACTTGTTCGACATAGTGGGGAACAGTCTCTAGCAGTGCTGATGCTTCGCTCTCAAATTTAGAACAGCCAAAGCTTGATCTAGAGCTCTATGTTCAAAACTACAAAGGTGCGTGCCATCGTTTTCTGGCCACGCCTTTTCGCGACTGGTCTTAGCACCTGTGTCCATACCCTTCAGCGCGCTGATATAGGTTCCTTCTGGGATATTAGGGCGAACACGCTTCGATAGACTCTTTCACATTGGACGCACGAGCACCGTTCTCTGCATTGATGCCCTCAAAGCCGCCGTCATCGAGGCGAAAGCGGGAAAGGATGTCGACCGATACCGAGACGCAGTCGACACCCTCCGTCAGGCTTCCCGCAGCGATTCAGAGGCAGAAATAGACAGGGCATGGATAGATAAAACCTCGTCGTCAAACAAGGCAGAGACGCAGCATCTCGAGAGCCAGCTCAAGGTGTATCGAAGCAACTTAGTGAAAGAGAGTGTTCGTGTGAGTTTTGTTGGTTCTTTAATGACACCTGACAGGTGTGTCTAGCCTTTGCAAACACAATTGCGCTAACAAAAGACGCCCACGTCTCCGTCGTAGATTGGAAATGAAGATCTTGGCCAACACTACGAGTCAATAGGGCAGCTGCAAAAGGCAGTTGAGGTCTATAGCAACATGCGAACCGATGCGAGCACGCCAAAGCACCTGATCGACGTTGGCAAACACCTGACGCGCGTCGGCGTGCAAATGCGAGACTGGGCGATGGTGATGCTCCAGCTCAACAAATTGGCGAGTCTGGAGGGTCAAGAAGTCCTCGAGGATGCCTCAGCGACCCGTCGGTACGTCAACATTGTGAGAGGGCTTGCCCATCTCGAAGGCGAGGCGTTCAAGGACGCGGCGCAGTGCTTCTTGTCCGTGGATAACAGCACGAGGCTGGCGAGCGAGCGCGACATCCCTAGCCCCAACGATATTGCTGCGTACGGTGCAATCCTAGCCCTCGCGACCATGGATAGGGCGGCCTTGAAGACTAAGGTTCTGGAGAGCCCAACCTTCCGGCCGTTCCTCGAGCTGGAGCCGCATCTCCGGAAGGCTCTTGGTCTCTACGTGAATGGCAAGTATACTGCGTGTTTAGAAATATTGGGGTCGTACAAGCCAGATTATTTGCTTGATCTGTACCTCTACAAGCACGTCGAAACTCTCTACAAGCAGATTCGAACAAAGTGTATTGTTCAATACCTGATCCCATACGCGTCCATCAAGATGGAAAGCCTCGAAACGGCGTTTGGCAGGCCTGGGCAGTCCATCGGAATTGAGCTATGCGAAATGATTCGGAGCGGGGTTCTAAGTGCGAGAATCGACTCAATTAACAAGGTACAGTCAATACAGATCCCCTTACAATTTCCCCTCTCGACTCTTCTCATGTATGAATGAGGTCGGCGCGAGCATGGGAACTAAAGGGCGAGTGTTTGTGTTTGTTGGTGCGAATTAAATTGGAAATGCGATGACGATGCTAACAACCTTTTCCTCTAGCTCCTGGTCCAAGTTACCCCAGACCCCGAGCAATCTTGCAACGGGATGCTTTGGAAGCGGTGAAATGGCATGGAAAGCGGACGGTTGAAGACATTCGGCGAAATGGACTAATCGCCCTCAATCTCGATATCGGGGTACGGCGGCAGGGGTCGTTGAGGCTGGGCGATGCACAAGGCATGGATGAGGTCTGGTACTCGGAGGGGCGGGACCCGATGGATTTAGTCACTTAGATCGGCCAACGGCCTTTTTAACGCCCATGCGCCGATGACGGACGGCGGGCGGGAAGACCCTGGGAACCCCGTTCCGAGCGTCAGGGTTCAAGCGAGCGGCTGTGGGGGTGCGGATGGCATGTGGAGGGAACAAACTTTCCTTGTCAGGGCAAGTCAAGGCGGCAGTTGGGGAGAGTACAAGTTTGGGCTGCAGATGGCTGGATGAACACCCCCTTTTCCTGGAATGGGAGGGTGAGGTGAGGGGGTCTGGCGGGCAAATTCTACCCCTCTGACAAGCGGAGACCCGACCTTGAGAGAGATATCGTGACATGACACCCAGGAGGAGCGACGGTGTGTAGAGGACTTTAGCAATGCCTGCCATAGCTAGCTACCACATTTCCTCCCCAACTTAAATTTTACGAAGACCACGAGCAATAGAAACGATTTTTACCATGATTCCCCGTCCCGTTTTTCTTATCAAGACTCCCTGGGGTGCCGAGATGCGAAGGTCTCCGACATAGTCTTGTCTTGGCAGTGGCTGTGTAGAGATCGGTGGACCTGTCAGGCTTCCAGAACCACACACCCCAATTGGCCAATCACCGAGTCAAGCAAGCTCTGTTCCAACCTCATCTCAACTTTCGCAAATTCCTCCACGGCAGAGCCACGCAGCCTCGACAACCTCGCAACGGATACCTCTGGGTATATCGTGGAACCGACGATCACGAAAAAGGCACCTTTATGACCGATAGTATTCCATCAGAAACCTGACAATTTCGCGACAAGATCCCCTTCCCTTCCCCCTTGGCGATGCCCCGACCCGCGACAAATTTCTACCCATTCCTCTAGCGATGCCCGTTCCGGTTGAGCTCTGCCTTCGTCGGCGGGCGATGCTCGCGATGACGACGGCAGCCGCGACAGCTCCCTCGCGGCGTGTACACGCCATCAGAGGCGTCGCTCTTCGGCAGATTAGCGGCTCTGCCGCGCGGTTGGAGATGGCTAGACGACCTCCGCCCCAGCACCATCGAACCGCGACGGCGACGGCAACGGCAACGGCGACAGGCCGCTCCTGGGATGCGAAAACACTGAATGCCCCTCGCTCGAGACGGAAAGAACGGACCTTGGCCCTGTTTAAGAGCGTCGTTGGTGGAACTACTGAGGAGGGCCTGGGTGGTGAAGCCGTGGACCGGGCCGCGCAGCGCGTGACCGAGGTCGCGTTCCTCATGAGGGCGGGCCAGATGACGGCGGAGCAGGCGTGGACGGCGGTCAAGGAGGAGATATTACCGGCTCTCGGGGACCCGGACAAGATATATGCCGAGTTGGCGACGGGGCTGAGGGGTGTGCTGGAGGCCATCCTCGAGGCGAGAAGCGAAGGGCTCGAGGACAAGGCCCTCCCCACCGGGAAGGAGGTTGCTGAAGTGTATCTTGATTATGGCAAGGCTCGCAACCTTAGGCCACTTCTACGTCTCGTGAGGGCTACTCTAGAGCATGCAGTCCAGGCCGAGTCGACGGCCCTTCTCCCCGCTGTTGAGGAGGTTGTGGGGTTGTGGACGGTCATCTTCAGCGAGCGCCAGGCAGCACGGAGGGACGTGGTCAAAGTACCTTCGCTTAAGAGCCCCAAGGTGCAGCGTCTCCTGTGGGTACCGGACGCCTTCGGCGCGGTCGTCCGGAGCTTAGTCGCCCGCGCCCCGGCCGTCGAGGCAGCGGGGATCCCCGCCCTCTTACTGACTACGTTTACCTTAGTTGAAAAGGCTGGGCTATGCGAGAGCGAGACGATCAAGCCCATCGCTCCTCTCCTCGAACTCTTGGAAAACGTCATGGCGTCGGTCTGGATGAATCCTAAGGAGGAGGCGCTGCTCGAATTCCGAGGCCAGTCCGACAAGCTGCGTGCTTACGTAGCGTCCAATATCGACCTTTTGCTACAGCGGACGACGGCCATCGCGTTGACGCCGGCTCAGTTTCATCGGCGCCTTTCCCGCGCTTTCAGGGTCCGCAACCTCGATCAGATTCGACGGATATGGGACGAACTCGCCGCGCAGATACTCGAGAGTCGGGTGCAGCCGGGAACGGAGGAGCACAAGAAATTTGCGGACCCGCTGAACTTTTGCGTCTTCATCTGGTGTGCGCTGGGCCAGGACGACATCGACACCGTTCTCGGCTTTATGAACCAAAACGGCTTTGACCTCACACTAGTCACGTACACTTCGATGATGGAGGGTGGAAGCAGGCAAGGAAGCCGAGAAACATTGGCCTCCTCTGGGACAAGCTCGTCAAGGACGGTACTCCCTTGGACGCGGTGATTTGGTCGGCGAGGATCTCGGCGCTCATGGCGTGCGGGTTCGAGAAGCCGGCCCTACGCGCGCTCCACGAGATGGGCCAAGCCTGGGATGCAGCCGTAAAATCCGGCCACGCGGGAGACGCTGTCAGGCCAGAAATCGGCCCGGTCAATGCGGCGCTGTCGGGGATCCTGCGATCCAAGGGTGTCAAGGCGGCGCCGGCCGTCCTGTCGTGGGCGGCGAAATACGAGGTGGAGCCTGACATCATTACCTACAATATGCTGCTGAAGGCGATGCTCAAGGAAGGCCTTGCCGAAGAGACGGGTGGCCTCTTGCGGGAAATGAACGGGCGAGGCATCGCAGCGGACGCGGCCACGTTTACCATCATTGTGGAAGAGGCCTTGAGCGCGGCCGTGGGCAAGACGGAAGAAGAGCAGCTCGCCGCGGTCCAAGCCATTTTTGCGGCCATCGAGGCGTCCCGCCAGAAACCTAAGCTCGCTACGTACGCCAAGATGATTCACGTCCTGCTCGACCCGCCGGCCCACCACCCCAGCCACGGCCACCAGCCGGGGAGCGGCGCCGGGGAGGCCGTCAAGGCCGTCCTAGAGCACATGGAGCACCACGGCGTGCTTCCGTCCTCGCACATCTTCACCATCGTGGCGGAGCACCACTTCTCGCGCGGCAATGCCGAGGCCGTGCGCGCCATGATCGAGTCGTGGCACCTGGAGGCGGCGCCCGCGGAGACGTCGGGCAAGGTGGACCGCGTGTTTTGGGAAGTGGTGATTCGGGGCTACGCGCGCGCGGGGCTGGCGCAGGAGGCCAAGGAGGTCTTTTTCCGCATGGGCAACAACGTCCGGCGCGTCGCGCTCGGGGTGCTGGACCAGCTCCTCGTCGCGCTCTTGGACGAGGGCGACGTCGCGGGCGCGAGGGACCTCGTTGCGTCGGTCAAGGAGAGGAAGGCGGGGATGGATGCCGAGGAGTGGGGGATGATGAGGGCGATAGGTATATGAAGCACCGGTTCTGGCATGTTGTTGCTGCCCATGGGTTGGGCTAGGTCAACTAGGGGCGGTAGATTGAGGGAAAATGTATGCTGGGATGGTGATTGTTGGGGTGGTGGTGTGTCTACAATGTATGATTTCAAGTGTTTTGTCACCTTGTTGTAAAACATATTCTAAAAGATAGAAGATGGCCTGGATTTACACTATAGAAGCCGTCACTTGTACCATATTCTGGTTTTTGCCTTGGAGGCTGTCTTTTTCTTGACTGAGGTCATCCTCGCTATCAGCTTTCCTGAATGGAGGTGGTAGAGAGAAGTCTTTTTAGGATCTTTCCTGATGGAAGAAAGGGCGCTTCCATGATGGTTCCTGCCTCGGAACCAAGATACTATTTAGGAAAGAACAACCCTTCCATATTGACATTGTATGAAATTCCACAAAAGGAATTGACGAAAAATAGAAGAAATCATGGTCCTCATGCTTCTTTGCCAATTCATCTAAAAGAAAAGGAAGAAAAAGAAAAAAAAAGGAAAATTCCCCCACACTTATCTTCTCATCATCACCTTTCCCGTCATTCTAAGAACAGATCTATCACTAGATTCCACTAGGACTCTAACATGGCTCCTTTTCATCCAGGACTGTGGTATTTGAAGCCTCAGCCACGAAAGGGGAAGTCGAAATCTGTCCTCTTTTCGAGGGGTTGACGACAACGCCTCTCCGCCACCCGCTAAGGTTTAGTTCTTCACAGCCTCTCTTTTCACTTCTCACAAAGGTAAAGCACTACTGATCTTCCCCTTTTACTATCAAACATTCCTCTAACCACATCAAAGCATAGAATATTATAAAGCCGTGTTTGAGACAAAAGAAGAAGAAAATTCGGAGAATATTTGACCTCCTTTGGGACGTCTGGCACGGCTTCAGCCTTCAATCATACGTTGACCGCGACGCGGCAAGGCAGCTGAGCCAATCAATTCCGCGCTGGGCAGAAACCAGACTCTTGGAGCTGAGCAGCAACTCACATTCTCACCCACTCTCTCCCTCGGTGAAGAGGAATTGGCCCGCTCAGCAAGACCAACAAAGGATCAAAACAAGGGGCCAGTCCGTCCCTAATAAGCATATCAAGTGAAGGGAACCGGAACGAGACGAAAAAAAGATGCATCCCTCATTCCCCATTACAACCCTCCTCCTCCTGCTCCTCACCCCCTTCACCACCGCTGCGTCCTCCTCCACCCGTCCCAAGAACGCCATCCTTCTATCCCAGGTTCGCTCTCTTACCCTTCGCTCCTCCTCCAAGACGACGCACCGCCGGGTCTCCGCCATCCCGCAGCTGAAATGCGTCTCCCCGCCGCCATTTGCGCCCTCCACCGCATCGACGTCATGCGCTGCACGAACCAAGGCTCCTCATATTCTGACGAGGACATCCAGTGGTCTTGCAAGGCGGAGCTGCCTCAGGAGCTACGCCTTGGCTCTACAGAGGTTATCTGCGAGGGCTACGATTCTCCCGATGACCCCTATGTCCTCAAAGGCAGCTGCGGTGTCGAGTACCGGCTCGTGCTAACGGAGAAGGGCGAGGTGCGTTACCCAGACATCACTAATAGCTGGTCCTCGAGCCAGAGCGAATGGAATACCGGATCTTATGTTTTTATCGCCATTTTTGTCGCCGTTCTAGCGTGGATCCTCTATTCCGCTTTCTTCGCGGCCAGAGACGTCCGCCGGGGCGCCAATTATCCCGGACGGGGTGCGGGTGGCGGCTTTTGGCCCGGTGGTGGAGGCGGAGGTGACGGTCCTGGAGGCTGGGGTCCTGGTTGGGGTCCTGGAGGAGACCACGACCCTCCTCCTCCTTATCCCGGACACAAGCCCGCCGCGCCTGGAAGCGCGGGGCAGGGATGGCAGCCTGGCTTTTGGTCGGGCCTCGCGGGCGGGCTGCCGCGACCTATCTAGCTACTAGGAATAACAACAGTGATCGTAGGGATCAAAGGAGGTCCGGCGGTGGCTGGAGCAGGGGGAATCATCGTCCTCCTCTTCATATACGACGGGCTCGAGCGCGAGGCACGAGAGCACAGGGTTTGGCTCTACTTCAAGACGCTGAGCATGGGCGGTTATGACAGCACGGCCGAGGTCAACATTCAGAAGAACCTCGGCGTTGCGCAATGGCGAATTTTCTACTCTCTGATCGGGGCATCCCCATCTTACAACACAAGGAGACAAATGCATACGCCGTTCGAGGCCGAAACAGCAAAACGGAGGGGAGGGGAAAAAAGAGACAAGACTGTGTGGAACACGAAAAGTGGTATATACCGACACGCCGATAACGCGCCTACGGAGAGCAACTAGTCTGTCTATATACCCTTCCGCCTCCTTTCCTCCTCGCACCATGCCATTTCAAAGCCTTCTCGCGTCGTTCTCTCCCGGGGGAATCGTCTGCTCAATGGAAAGAAAAAAGGGGAAAAGAAACTCGTACTATGTACAATAATACACTGGACTTGAAAGCAGAAGCCATTCCTCGTCCCAGAATGAAGAAACCCGAATTAATGAAGCAAAAGAAATGGTGAAGAAGAAAAATGTCGCTGCCGGAAAGAAGAGAAGAGAAAAAAGCAAACGCCGCGACGAATAACCCAAAGCCGGGCAAGAGTGCGGCTATGTTCTCGTCCTGCCGTGAAAAGCGGTCCGTCAGGGACTGGGTCATGGCTCTCCCATCCCTTGGCGGGGTATCGCGTGCCTCTGAAAAAGAGAAAGCCATATACAGTAGTACGTGCAAAACGCCCTCTTTGCGTTCGCACGCCACCCCGTCTTTCTTCTTCTCCAGACAACAAAACATCTATAAGTACAGCGCGGGGCCAAAGCGTGTTGTTCACTACCCAACCGTAGCGAGTTTGCGGAATGTTGACGTTTTGTAATTCGACTTGTTTCGAACAAAAGTAAGGGGGACCGGCGCGCGCACGCCGAGGTCGCGAGTGTGTTTTGACCATCCTCTCTTTCAACCATGGGTCGGGGTGGGCACTCTTCTTGACGCGACAGTTCCAAGCACTTGTGCGAAGCGACAAGGCTGGGTGCTGTGGCGCGCCGCGTGCTGACCGTCGATGACTGCTGTTCACATGAACCGTCCTTGTCTGCACAGGGCGCGCCCCTAGTGAAACGCGAAGAGCGAAATCGTTCCTTCTCGGACCTCCTCCCTCTAGTCGCCATTCCTCGTTGGGGCCTGCGAGGCTAGGCGCGCCCAGTATACAGCAGCCGCATCGTTTCGGAAGCATGGGTCGACGCTCAAAAGGACATCTCCAGACGAGCCATGCCATGGCCTAATGGTGCACGGCCATGACGTCCATCTTGTCAAAGGCACGAGAGCAATTGGGACACTTTCGCATTCGGTTGCTGATTCGGTTCTCGACGCACTTGTTGCAAAAGAGGTGCCCGCAGGTCTTCAGGGCTGTGTTCTTGAAGTTCTCGTTGCATATCGAACAAATCATGAGGGTCTACACGATGAGAGGCGCGTTAGTTACGGAAAGTTGCCACCAAACCGCAGGAAGAGGAAGGGGGAGGAGGGGGCAAAAGGGAGTGACGGAAGGTTCCGACAGCGAAACTTACGCGAAGTCCCTTCTCAACATCAGACGAGTTGCTCTCGGCCTTGACCTTCCAGCCGTCCTTGTCTTTCTGGAGGGTTTCCACCCGAATCTTGAGACGATCCGTTTCCGCTTCCAAGGTGATATTCCGCTCTCGCATAGCTGCCACTGTCGCATCCTTAGACTTGACGAGCCCGCTAAGATCGCTAACCTCTTTCTTATAGGCCTCGACCTTCCGAGAAGCCTCAGTCGAGGTGGCCTCTAACCTCTTGTTCTCCGACGCAAGGGTCATGTTAGCTTGCCTCAGGTCCGACACCTGCTTTTCGAGGTTTCCAAGAAGAATTCGGTTTTGGGCTTCCACGTCCTTCAGCTGCGCGATGATCTCGGTGCTCTTACCACACTGAACACGCAGCGTCCGGATCTCGCTCATCTTAGTGTCGGCATCCTTCCTCGCAGCGAAATACTTTTGGTCGGCCTTACTCTTCTCTGCTGTGAGAATGCCCACCCGATTCTCGAGCGCTTCAAAGTCCATTACTTTCTTGTGACTGAGGGCCATCGCCTTGCGGTACGCCTTTTCCATTGCCGGGAGTTCGTTTGACACAGCTTGGTAATCTTGTTGAAGCTTTCGATGCTTGGTGACCAAGGCATCCCGTTCGAGACCGTCTAGTTCCGCGTCGGGATCCGCCATTTCCTCATCGGATGTAGGACGAAGCCTATTGATTTCAGATTCCAGGGCAGCAATTCTATCGTCCTTGGAGCTGACGAGTTCCTTTATATGTTCGAGCGCCGTCTGGTGTTGTTCCTGGCTAGCACGGCGCATGGTGTTATCAGCAAGTAGTTCATCCCTTGCCGACCGGAGGCGCGCGATGTCGTGATCCCGAGCGAGGAGGTCTGTGTCGAGTTCCTGGGTGAGGGCTTGCGAGTCAACCTCTACCTGCCGCTTAAAGTTTGTCCGCTCGGCGCTCAACTTCTCGATATCTTCCTTAAGTTGTGTGTTCGTCGCCTCGAGGTGGTTGACCTGCTTGATTAATTCCTCGGTCTTGGTCTTGAATAGCTTGAACACGTCAGTCCTGATATAGTCCTCATCGGTCAGCGTCTCGCGACGGGCCTTGAGGGTGGAGTTCTCCTCTTGAAGTGCCTTGATCTCATCAAGGACGGACTGGATCTGTTCCTTTTGCCGCGCGACAACGGCAAGCTCCTCTTCATACTTTTGCAAGACCTCGGGGCTCACGCCGTTGGATTCCGAGGCAGGCTTAGCCTCCGAGGTAGGGGAAGACTGCTTTGTATCGTTCGCCAAGGCCTTCTTCTCCAGCTCTTGCACCTGGGCACTTTTCACCCTATCAAGCTTCTTTTCCGCTCTGAAGTACCGAAGGGTCGCGGTGTTTAGTTGCTCGGAGAGCTGCTCCTTTCCGAGCTTAGCCTATCTAACTTGACAAAGTAGTCTTTTTGACTCGCCAAGAGTTTTCCGATGCGCTCTTCGAGAACGGAAAGATTCGGCACGGTGCTACCTCGTGATGCTGCTAGATGGTTTAACAATGCCTCCGCCTTGGATTTAAGGCCCTTGGCCTTCTCGTCGAGGTGTTTTTGGAAATCGGTGCTGTCCTCAAAGGTGACTCCAGTGAGGTACGGGGATCTGCATGGCGGAAGAACTCAGTCAGCGAGTTTCGCTCCAGAGGTATTCGCCGCCATATCAAAAGTCTGGACACTAACCTGGAGATATCGCTTCAGAGGGTATGTTTGAAGTAGCGACGAGTTCGATTTCTTGAAGAAGCTATGACAGGGCGTAAGCCTAGGAAATAATCAGGAAGGGGGTTGAGCGAGAAACACACCTGACGCCACCAGGCATCGACGATTCGAAGATGATCGTCATGATATAAAGATCTCTTGTGTAATTCTTCGAGACGGGCGGAATAAGTTGCCGCTTCGCGCTTGTATTCGTTCATTCGGCGATATATCGCGCCTTTGGCAAATTTCTGCGCTCATCTGGTTAGCACGTGTCCACGCCGTTCTATGTTTAACGGTTATGAGGCGTAATCGATGTGAATAATCCAAATTGAAACGGGCACATGCCCTCTGATAAAGAGGGAACGTAAAAGAGAGATTCGTGGCAAGTTGGGGAGGTAGACTCGGAAATTCTGTGGTTTTTTCTTGGTGACCTAGGTCAAAATTTTCTAGGTTGGGAGGGGAAGGGATGAGGGAGGCTGGAGTCAAAAGAAGATGAGGCGGTTCTCAACAAAGTCGGGGGCACGCCGAGAATGGCAAAGAGCATCAAAGCCAAAATGGCGAGGCGAGGAGATGGGGAAAAGCGGTGTCGCGATGAAACGATGCGCAGAAAGGCTTACCTCGATCCAGACTTCTTCGGATTGACCGTCATGGTCGTCCTTGGTGACGCCGCCATTAACGGCCAACTTTTGCGTGGTGGCGCGCCATCATCGTTGGCCCCAGCGGGCCGCTTCCTATCTTCAACCTTCTCTTTGTCCATCTTGGATGAGGCGGACGCACGAAGGGAGGAGTTTAGAGTTGTCGCAACAGGCATTAGAAGAGGTAGAGAGATGAACTAGGGAACAGCTGGAATCCGCAACGGCCTTGTCGACGAGCGAGGAATGCGTGAGGGTGGGAGGGGGATCAGGGGCGTGCGGAGAGGGTGACTGGGAAAATGGATGCTGTCGCCCACGGGCGACAAGGCTCAATGCTTGACGCTAGGGAGGAGATAAAATCGACGATTGTTGCATCAAAAATACAAATTGTCGAAGAGGCCGAGTTCTGCTGAGCGATAGGGGCAGAAGATAAAGAGTGTCAAGGGGGTTAGAAGGCTGGTTTGGAAAGGAGAAACATCAAAACTCGATGAATTTTCGAGAGTCCCAAGCCATGAAGGAGCAGAAAGCGTTCCTTTCGACAGATCCCAAGGCCAAACACAGAAGGGCCTAAAATGGCTTAGTCTCGATGGGGACCAATCCGAGAAAAGGATTGGCTGGGGCTGGGGCCATGACTTAAATATTAGTGTCGACAGCGAATATACGACTATCGGCTAATATGCGGCTATATAGAAGGTTTCGATTTCTTTTTCTCTTTTTTCCCCCAGTGCAAATTAATGCCGAGCTCGAACAAGGAAAAAAAAAAAAAAAAAGAAGGACCAAGTGACCTATGGATCTATCTTCCCATGGCCCATGATTCCGGTACAAACTTCTCTTCACCCTCCATTTCCCATTTCCCACTTGACAGTCTCCCTCATTCTATATTTTCAGTCACAGTTTCTCACCTTTGATTCTAAAACAACTAGTCACTACTACTCGATCGTCAATGCCGACCCTTGATCGCTTGCGGAATTGCATTCTCTTCAGTTTACCAGGGAATACCAATTGCGCAAATTCGCGCCTTTGACCTGCACAGCAGCCGGTGATAACCACCCCGCCCCGTCTTCCGCCGTAGCGGACGACAATCGGCCTCTTCTTGCCCAACATGAGTTCCATGTTCAAGAAGAAGACGGGGCCTTCGATCAAGCCGAAACTCGTGCCACGGGGCCGCGCCGCTGCCCCGTCTTCTGCTTCTGCCTCTGCTGCGGCGTCGCCTGCCCCACCATCGTCGTCTGCATCTGCCACGACATCGCCTGCCCCGCAACCGCCGCGAAACCCTGTCGAATCCGCGCAGCGCACCCACGCAAAATCGCAGCAGGGTGGTGAATTTCCAACGCCACCGTCCTCGAAGCCGAATGATGTTAGGACTCCGACAGAACAATCGAGTGCTAGTCCCCAGGCCCCTCCGACGGACTCTCTCAAACCCACGGACCATGTCCAACATGTCTCCGACTCGGCCGCCGACCTGCATGCCACTTCGCCAAAGAATCCGAGGCTTCCCTCTGCCACGCGGAGTACAGATAGCGACTCGGAACAAATTACATCTGGATCGGCTGCGCCAGCCACACCGGCATCACTAAATGCCGCGGCTCAGACCGCCGAAAGACCACTAGCGGCTGCGGCTGCCTCGCCGAAACTCCCGCCGTCCACAACGAGAACCAAGGCTATACCACTTGCTGAAGGATCGCAATCCAGTCCCTGGACGGACGACGCCCGACTGCCCAACTCGGATGTATCCGCGACAAGTACGCCTTTCGTCCAGCCTGCACCGTCACCGGCAAGCGAGTCGACATTATCCATCAATGGCTCCGAAGACCTGGCAACCCCGACAGCTACCGCTAAACCGTCAGTGAAACGCGGAAGGAAGCGCAAGGCACTTCCAAACGCGCTGGCTGATGGTGAGGATGGATCTCAGCCAGTTGATGGCGGCACACCGGACACCTCACAACCACAGCGTCGTCCCAGGGCGCGACGAACCCAAACGCAGGCTTCTACGACAGAAGGGGCCGAGGGGAAGATGCGCCATCCAAGCCAAAACGACAAAGGAAGAAGCCTGTTCCCCGAATCTCAGCGGATCCAGAAACCGAGGGACTCAATCGCGCAAGCCGGGCTCGGTCGGAAACGCCGCCTGATGCGGAGCTTCAAGTTGTCGACATACAGACTCTCAAGATGTCGGACCTGACACGAGATTTACGTATTGGAAAGAAATTCAGCAGGCACGATGAGCTCCGGGACCGAGAGCGCCAAGATCGCTCTCGTCTTTCTGGAGATGTCGTCACCAAGGCGTCTCAGAGCCCGGCGCCTCCTCAAGTGGTGCGGGGATCGCGTAACCTCGGCTGCGCCCTTGAGAGCGGCGGGGCCTCAGTTCCAGATCGTCAATGGCCAAATTGTGGTTGACCAAAGCTCGCTCGTTATGGACAGGCACGCTCGCGACGCGGTTGACGGGCCGATTGAGGAAGTGGAGGAGAACGAGTTCACGCACAAAGTCACGAGCAACAGCTTCCGGACAGGAAGCAAGCTTCGAGGACCAAACCACTGGTCGGAGGATGACACTGAAAAGTTCTACCACGCCCTCAAGAGGTTTGGGACCGATTTCGAGATGATTGCCCAACTTTTCCCCGGGCGGCAGCGGCGCCACATCAAGATGAAGTTCAACCGTGAGGAGAAGTTCTCCAGGGGACGGATTGACGCGGCGCTCGTTGGGCCTAAGCGCCTCAAGATGGATTTTGAGGATTTCAAGGCCGCTACGGGCAAAGAGTACGAGGCTACCGCGGATATCCACGCGCAGCTCAAGCAACTGGAAGAGGCGCAAGAGGCAGCACAGAAGCAACAAGAAGAAGAGGATGCTGCGATTAACAGGCAGAGGTTAGAGGCCCTCCATGGCCCAGGAGGTGTGCCCGGTGAAAGTGAAGCGGTGGTGGCATCTATATGAGGGCAGGTAAGGCTCGGTGAAAGCCTTGGCACCAGAGTTTTTCTACAGAGAAGAGAACTCGACGAACCAAACGATGAACACGTGGAAAGATGCCCGGTGGATGGATACATCAAGGGAACGGCGTTGTACGGGGTTCCGCAGCGGACCTACTGTTTTGTTTTATACCCCCTTTTTGATTTCTCGATTCTTCTTTCCTTGCCTTTTTCTTTCTGTCTAGGGAGGGTCAGACTTTCTCACAGGGACTAGGAATTATAGCTCGAGGTACCCTTGCCAGAGGAGCCATCCCGGCGGTTCATGTATCATTTCAAGGATTCTTTTTGGGTCAGGGCGGTTATTTAGTGATAGTTTGGCGCATTTGCTTTAAAGAAGTCTGAAAGAACTCGGATCAATTTCATCGCGACAACAAGCTTTGACTACAATCTCTCCTGCCTTGGTAGCGTGAAGCGTAACTCAGAAGAACATTGAAGGCTATAAACGAGTGATAGAATGAATTGATTGCTGGTGGTTGGTGCAATGGGCACAGCTACTCCCAGGCATGGCGGGCACGGAACGATTGGCTAGCGGAAAGTGTCGACATGATGTGTGGGCGGGTAAGGCTCTTAAGACGGGGGCGGGTCGTTGACATAAACAGCGAACAAGTTTGGTCAAGAGAACCCGCCATGATGCGGCAGACATGCATCATCTTGCAAGCAGGTGAGAGCGGCAGCTCGGCCATGGTTCCTGCAGTCCCACAGCTTTCTTCCCACTTGCCTCTGGCTCGCACATTCGAGAACGCAAGTTGCGACCTATGTGCAGAAAATATCGGGAGGGGGACAATTGTGAGCAAGGGACGTGTCACATCTGAAGGGCTAAATAAGCTGGATTCGATGAGGGAGGAGCCGGCGGTTTCGGGGAAATCTCCGGCATGGTACGAGAGCATGGCCTTGATCTAGCGCATCTACCCGATTCCTCCATGGTTTACCATCAGGTAAACCTCGAGTCTTTCTGTACGGTGGCTGATGTCATTCAGGGTTGATAGGAGTGTTTGCCAACGCAAAGATCAAACGTTGGAATCGATTCCTGCAAGCAACCTGCTCCCCCACTTCCTCCTACTCCTATCAATGCTTTCATCCCCTCTCTCTACCTCGCGCCCGCCGCCTCTCCCCCTCCTTTCGAGGAGACGTCAATATCGGCGCTGACGAACAAAGTTTACCAAGGATTAATCTTGGGCCGCCGCCACCATCCGATCTGGGACGGTACATGGCAAATGCACGAGGGGGTGGATGAAGCAAGCAAGAAAGAAGTAGGGCCGGTCGCCAAGTGCAGGCGTGTGTGTCTCATATACTTTGCCTTCTTTTCCCGCCCATGAGCCCAATGATTATAGCTCAATCGTTTCGATGCTACACGGTGCTAGTGGTGCCAGTGAGAAGCCCACCGCATTGAGGGATTGTGTGCGCGTGTTGCCCAATCCAGCCTGAGGCAGCAGAGTGGGCCTGACGATGTTCGCAATGCGGTGGGAGACTGCAAAGGGCGCGAGGTTTTTCGAGATCCCATTTGACCCATGTCCTTCCTTCCCTCTTGGGCTGGTGGTGGTTTGCGTGGTGCCCCTCCAAGATGCTCCTACCCCACCAGGAGGAGAGAGGACCTCTTGTGCCCTTGCGCTGGCAAGTCATAATACAGTGCCAGGCTGAAAAAGGCTCCACTCACCGGACGGCGTCCACTGAGGAAGCGAATGTGAATGTACCGACAAGTGCCCTCACCAGCCAGATCTCCGCCATGCAGACCAATGCGGTACATGCTCGCGATGTTTCCTCAAGACAATGGCGGCTGGTACGCAGTACGTACACGCTGCCTCTGCCTGGCTTGCCCATGCTTGTCTGTCCCACCTTTTGCAGCGACAACGTCCCTCTCTTGCCCCACCCCACCTGACAAGCCCAGACTTCAATGCTCCGTGAGCCTCGCCTCAATGGTTAGCAGAAGCAACCGAGCAACCAAGCAACCAAGCAACCAGCAGGAGCTCTCTAGGCGACCAGCCATCCACATCATCCCTCAACCAGTCGGTCCCCTTTGAAATTTGCCCACACCAAACTAGTGTGGCCTCAGAACTGCCCTGTCTTGAGAGAATAAACCTGTGCACCTCCAGGCATCGTCCCGCTCGACTTCTTCCCCTTCATACCACTTTTGTCTTTTTTTCCTTTCTCTTTTTTCATTTCTTTTGCATCTCCCGTCGCTTCCATCTTCCTCGCCACTCCTCCTTTCTCTCTTTCCCCGCCCTTTTCATCCCCTCCCAAGAGCATCGATACTCAACCCCTCGATTGCTCCCGGACAGACAGTCCCTCCTCCCGTTACCCCACACCCATAACCTCTTCCAAAACCAACCTAACATTTGCGCCCAAAATGAAGGTCACCTTCAAGGTAAGCCAGGCAAGCCCCATCGCCCCCTCGCCTCGCGCGATGGAGGAGCTTGACATATTCTTCAAGAATCAGAGGACTTTGAAATACTAAATCAATGGCTATTGCCCCCCGCTTTGTAGGACCTGAAGCAAAATAAATTTACGCTCGACATCGAGCCAACGGACCTGGTACGCTTTACCCCGAAATCTCGTCTTTCGTCGCCCGTGGCCATCCCCGCCTTCCTCCACTCCGCTCCTCCAACCTAAGCCCGAACTCCCTCTTTCAACGACCTCATGTCAAGCTGGAATTCTCATCAGCGCAGCCTGTCCATCTCTGGTTGTTGGGAAGGGAGGAGGCGGGGGAGGGGCGAGGGTATGGATGGCCCCAAGAGACAGCGCCACCGCCAAGTTCTTGCCATGCATGCATGGCATCCTCCCCACATATGGAAACCTAGCTCGTCTAACTATGGCCTGTTCTACTCTTTTTAGATCTCCGCCGTCAAGCAAAAGATTAGCGAAGAGAAGGGCTGGGATGCCAAGCAGCAGAAACTCATCTACTCTGGTGAGTATCTCTCGCCTTTGAGGCAGCACAGCTAGCTCTACACCGATCCGGATAGCTAATCTACCCCTCTACAGGCAAAATTCTCAAAGATGACGAGACCGTTGAGTCGTACAAGATTGAGGAGAAGGGCTTCGTTGTCTGTATGGTGAACAAGGTATGTGAAATATCTAGGCTAAAAAGAGTTCCATATCCCATACTGACGACGGTTTTCTCTTCTCTCAACAGCCCAAGGAACCCAAGCCCGCTGCTTCTGCTGCATCTTCCTCCACCGCCAATGTTCCTTCTACCCCCGCTCAGCCCGTGGCCTCGACACCCGCCGCCCCTCCTGCGCCCGCTGCACAACCCTCCACTCAGGCTGCCGTTCCATCGACCCCGACACCCGCCCGGTCCGCCGCACCTCCAGCTGATACCCCTGCCTCCTTCAACGACCCTTCCGCCCTGACTCTTGGCGTCGACAGAGAGGCTGCCATAGCCAACCTGGAAGCCATGGGTTTCGAGCGGTCGCAGGTCGAGGCTGCCATGCGTGCAGCTTATTTCAACCCCGACCGTGCCGTGGAATATCTCCTCAACGTATGATGAGCTCGCTCTTCCTGTCACTCGCAAAAGCCTACTCCTGCGCACGTCTCTCCACGTCTCAAACTAACAATCATGTTTTTATACAGGGTATCCCCGAAGGCCTCGCACAGGAAAGACGCGCTCCGGCTGCCCCGGCAGCTTCTGCCCCTGCGGCCGAACCCGCTGCCGCCCCTCAAGCAGGTGGCGGTGACGAAGGCAGTGTGAACCTCTTTGATCTTGCTGCCGCTCAACAGGGCGGCGGTGGGTCTACCGCGCGCAGTGGAGGTGAGGCTGCCCCGGCAGCTGGCGCGCAACAAGGTTTCGGGAACCTCGACTTCCTCCGAAACAACCCACAGTTCCAGCAGCTTCGCCAAGTCGTCCAGCAACAGCCCCAGATGCTCGAGCCCATCCTCGAACAGCTCGGTGCGGGCAACCCCTTCTTGCACAACTCATTGCGAACAATCCCGAACAATTTCTCAGCCTCCTAGGAGAAGACGCCGATGACGATGCCCCGCTCCCACCCGGCGCCCAAGCCATCTCCGTAACGGAGGAAGAGCGGGACGCCATTGAAAGGGTATGTCGCTCTCTCCGCCCAAAACCCTCCAAACAAGCTTTGACCAAAGGTGCTAACTTTCCCCTCTCTTCAAACAGCTATGCCGCCTCGGTTTCAGCCGTGAGGAGGCTGCCCAGGCTTACTTTGCTTGCGACAAGAACGAGGAGCTCGCCGCAAACTTCCTCTTCGACCAGCCCGACAATGATGATGGTGCCCAGTAAACTGGAGTACACTAGGCTTTCGTTATTCCTTTTCTTTTCAAATGAAATGAGATAAAGCACTTGGGAATGCAACTGAATTTTCTTTCTTTTTCATTGGGATCATGGCGCCGGTGGTTCTTGATATGAATTTAATGGCAAGGCGGTGGGGGCGGAGAGTGTTGGTGGATGAGGCGAATAACCAGTTGGAGCGTAACGGCTGCTGTTGGCCCATGGTATACGAAGCGTTTGCCCTGGATTTTCTTGGCCCAGCCGAACATCACCCTTATCTAACAAGCGCGCTATGTTGTCCATGGCCCGGCGAAGGGCGAAGGGCTAGGCCGGGGGATAATGCCGACTTTGCGCCTTTCTCTTGGGCTCGAAATAGCTCTCTCTCCCTCTCTCTCTCTCTCTATCTCTCTCTCTCTCTCTCTCTCTCCCTCTCTGCTTCTCTCTCTCCCTTCCTTACATGTGCCGGGAGCCGATGTATACGTTCGACGTCCCCGTATCACCAAAGCTGTTGTGACCCGGAAACAGGATAGTTTCCACGAGACCGTCTGAAACGATTTCAACACGCCCCATCATGATTTAGGTGCCCTACACTAACAGGATCGTACAAGGGCTTTTCTTTTGTGTTGTCTTTGCTCGGGAAGCAGGAGGGTGCTTTGACTGGGTAGATATTGGTCAATCGCAACAGTGATGTCTGCTTAGGCTTTTGTTTCTTGGAAGGAAGCGACGGCATTAAGTATCAGTAACACCCTATGAATGAATAAAAGCAAGGTAAAACAAAAACTATAGGTTTAGGTCTTATTTGATGAAGACGCAAACTGCGATATTTATCTAGTTCTGTCTTGTTGGTGTAGTCACATGAGCGTACACGTAGGCCGAGAGTTTGATAACGAGGGTGTTGAAACGAATTGGTTCGACCGTTCGGTGTTGTAATGGCGATTGATGGCTGAAGATTGTGATAAATTTTTAGGTGTCTTGTGGATGTTGGGAGAATTTTCATTCAACCCCAACCAACTCCAAAAAAACCGCCTGCGATTTTGTCTTCTTGGCCCCTCTCCGCACAACATCAAGTGGAAGGGTAGCTTTCTACCAATTCGGGACCCGTTGATTATAATCTGGGCTTTTGATTTGCGAATCAAAATCATAAAGTCAAAGTGTGAGACTTGGTGAAGTCCCCAAGAACGGGTGTTCTTGTAGCGCATCCACCAGTCTCAGCTTTGGACCTGGCAAGCGGCAAGCGGCAAGCGGACCCTTTAACTCACCTGGGAAGAGGCTAGGATGTCTCTCTATCACGAAACTGCCGAAATCCTCCTCGCGGCTGGGACATCTGGAGGCAGTCTACGGACGCTAACCTATGGCAAGAAGGGGCTCAAATCGCCGCCGGCCCAGGTATATGCCCTCGCGGTAGAGAGCGCGAGGTGGAGCGGGGTGCTGAAGGAAGTAGTGGAGGCTAGCGAGATTCTCAAATTTGAGCGCAAGGTGAGTGGGCACGCACGAATCATCCGTGGGGAGGGAGATTTGCCCGTCTTGTTGAGCAGTCTCTCTCTCTCTCCAAGACGCACCGAGGACTGGACTAGCCCAGTCCTCTTTTGATTTCTAAATATCTAATATATGCCAACGTCTAGCTCACGCCCATCCTTTCCTTGCTCCTCGTGCATGACTTCCTCCTGGCCAAGGGCGGCATTGCGCTACCGCAGTCGCACGGCCTCCGGACCACCATTGAGAAGCACAAGGGCCGTCTGGCATCCGAATTCACGCGGGCCAGGATACGCAAGAAGCAGCCGACGCTCGAGGCCCTGCGGGCACTGATCGCCGAGGAAACGAGGACCGAGGCCGAGGGGTACCCGCGGTGGGTGCGCGTGAACGCGCTCAAGTCCGACCTGGACACGCAGCTGGAGACGACGTTTTCGTCCTTTGCGCGAGTGTTTTCCATCGCGGACGTGATGGCGGCGGCGGCGGGGCCAGCGGCGCGCAAGGTGGTCTACATTGACCAACACGTGCCCAACCTCGTGGCGGTATCGCCGGGCGTGGACCTCACCAAGACGGAGGCGTACGCGTCGGGGGCGCTGATCCTGCAGGACAAGGCGTCGTGCTTCCCCGCGTACCTGCTGGATCCGCGGCCCGAAGCGGGGACTTTATCGACGCGTGCGCGGCGCCGGGGAACAAGACGACGCACCTGGCCGCGATCCTGGCGACCGGGGTGGCGGAGAACGGGAGGCTGGGGAGCACGGTGTACGCGTGCGAAAAGGACCCGCACCGGGCGCAGACGCTGGCCAAGATGGTGGACCGGGCGGGGGCCAAGGGCGTGATCAAGGTGGCGCTGGGCCAGGATTTTCTCAAGGTCGATCCGGCGGACGAGCGGTACCGCGGGGTGTACGGGTTGTTGCTGGATCCGAGCTGCTCTGGGAGCGGGATCGTGGGGCGGGATTCGATGCCGGAGCTGTATTTGCCCGAGGCGCCTCCGCCGCCGGGAGGGGCGGGGAAGAAGACGAAGGGGAATGATGATGGCAGCAAGAAGAAGAACAACAATGACAAGAAGCGGAAGCGGGACGGCGGCGGCGAGGCGGGGACGGAGGTGGCCGCGGCGGCGACCAAGCCGGTGCTGGTGGACGACGACGGCAACGAGGTGACGCTGGCGACGGAGCAGGAGTTAGCGACGCGGCTGCGGGCGCTGGCGGGGTTCCAGCTCAAGTTGTTGCTGCACGCGCTGGCGTTCCCGTCGGCGCGGCGGGTCACGTACTCGACGTGCTCGGTGCACGACGAGGAGAACGAGCACGTGGTCGTGGCGGCGCTGGGGTCGGAGGTGGCGCGGCGGCGGGGGTGGAGGGTACTTCGGCGCGGGGAGCAGGTGAGCGGGATGCGGGACTGGCCGGTGAGGGGGACGTGGCGGCGGCGGGGGCGCGGAGGAGGTGGCGGAGGGGTGTATACGGAGTTTCAAGGGGGATGGGAGGGGGTGATGGGGTTCTTTGTCGCGGGGTTTACGAGGGATGGGGGCCAAGACTGCCGCGACGACGACGACGACGACGAGAAAGAGGGTGGGGGAAGGAAAGGGGGCCGAGGAGGAGGAGCCGTACGTGAGGGATGAGAATGGGATGATTGTGAGGGATGTGCTGGGGATGCCGATGCTCAAGGCTACGGGGATTTCATGTCTCTGGATCCCGGGGACGGGGGCCGGGGTGGGGAAGGGGATGATGCGGGGAGGACGCGAGTAATGAGGATGAGGATGAGGATGAGGAAGGGGACGATGTGGGTAGTTCGGAGGAGGAGGGTGGGGGAATGGGGGTTTTGAGGATTAGTTGGGGGTTGAATTCTACGTATATGTGTGATGGCTACATCGAGGACGTTGGTTTGGATGTGCTGCCAACGAAGGATATCTACAGGTGATGTCGATGTCTACAAATATGGCGCACCTTTGAGGGAAAGAGAGTACGCAGGATGCAGGGCCTCGTCCTCCTCCACAATGGGGGAAACAGGGTTCTTGAAGCATATATCCCTAGGTGAAGGCCCCATGGGGTTGGTTGACACACCAAATGAACGTTGAGTAATAGCGGCGGCGCAGTTCACCACGCAGGCAAACTCCGACACTCCGTGGGGACGTCTCGTGGGCTGGTTCCTTGGAGAACATTGAAGAACAAGGATGGGGAGGATTAGTTTCTTAGGTTTCCTACCTTTGCCTTTTCCCTGGGCATGAGATGGGGAAAGCCTCTCCTTGTTGCGCCGTGGTTGTGGTCGAGCGATTATTAAATCGAGTAAATGATTATTAAACAGGCCGTTCATGGCCGACGCGTAGTCACAAGGCGGGGGATTGGGGCTGAGGGGAGTAGGTTACTAGCTTGGTGCTTTGTGAGATTCGGAATTCAAGGTTCCTTTTACTCCTCGACGCCGAGACAAAGGGGCGCACAAAGAAGACCCTGGAGGGTAGCCCCTGGAAGAGTGAGCGAAGAAGACAACATTAAGTACAAGCTTGCATCGGAGATCGTGAAACTTGACGCGGTGTTGTTCAAAACTACCCCACACACCAAAGGTGAGCTGTAAGGAGCCTTCCTATCGGAGAGTCCCCGCGGCGTGACAGGCGTGGGCAGGGCCAGGAACAGCTTTGGGGGAGTGGGGGCTAAGCAGCTGGTTTCGAGGTGATGATCTATGGATGGCCCGCCTGCTCATTGTCCTGCTCATTGTAGGGTGGGGATTGCACATGCCTGCGTGCGCAAGACTGAACAGATCCATTCCCCCATGATTACTGGAACGTTTTCTACGACCGAGGTGCCGCTGTAAGAAAAACCCCAAAACCCGCTTGTTTGGGCCAATACGGCAGGTGGGTTCGTTGATGGAGGCAAAAATGACGTGCTCTAGGCTGACCATGTCGAGACTTTTTTCTTTTTAGAAGAGGAATTGAGATTCTAAGAGATGATTGATGAGAAATCAAGACCGCCAACCATGATGACCCGTAATCACCTGGACTCGTCCACCGTGATCCGTGATGTTGAAGAGGGGGAAAGGGCATGCATCGCAACTGCCGTGAGGTGCTTGGTCCCCAAAACGGACAATAGCTTCCAAAAACGAGGGAGCACCTAAACAGAACAAGGTTGAGCGCGGTGGCTCTTTTTAGAGTAAGCGCCGAAGGTAGCCGCTTGGGAGCTGGTCGTGCAAGAGGGAAAGCAAACTAGGGAGCTATCTGGCCCCGCCCCAAAGTAAAGCGGGTGGGAAGCGAAGGGACTTGGGGGCAAGCCAAGTGCCCCTCCGACGATTTTTTCCTTCTCTTTTTAGTGGAGGTGGTTTCAAACCGGGGGCCGTAACGGAACAGGCGATGGGGGCGACAAAAGGACGTGGGTAGACCAAGACATCGGATGAGGAGCAGGAACATATATAAATACGGGTAGCTTGACCGCCCCCTTGGAGAGTTCAGCTTCCGACCTCACTTTCTGCTATTCCATCGTAACGACAGACCAATTCTTTCCAAACCATAGGTTCCAAGCCATAGCAGCACTCAATTCGTCGGCAGATCTCCGTTTCCCGACGCATCATATTGCTGGCTTCTCCCTAACAATAACCCCTCCATCCCAGGATTAGAGTGCACAGGAACCCACCCGCATTCGCCGCCCTTGCGCAAGTCGATCTGCCCCGCATCAGCCCGACAACGAAACCCCCCAAGAGCAAGTGTCATTGATTATGGGCGAGCTCCAGAAGAAGCCGAGCCCCGCCACCTTTGCGTCGGCCTCTGAGCTCATTGGCAACACACCGCTCGTCAAGCTCAACAGGATTCCCCAGTCGCTGGGTATCGAGGCCGATGTCTACGCCAAAGTCGAGCTCTTCAATGCTGGAGGGAGTGTCAAGGACCGGATAGCCCTCCGCATGGTGGAGGAGGCCGAGAAGAGCGGGAGGATCAAGCCTGGCGATACCTTGATTGAGCCGACTAGTGGAAACACGTAAGTTTTTTTTTTTTTTTTTTTTTGTTGGACACATCATTGAAGCCAATTCTCTGCATTCTTCACCTGGTTCAAGAGAGCGCTGGATGGCGATGATAAGAGGTTCCGGATACGGTGCTGACTAGTCTCATCCCTTAGTGGTATTGGCTTGGCCCTTGTCGGAGCTATCAAGGGCTACAAGACTATCATCACCCTCCCCGAAAAGATGTCGGCCGAGAAGGTCTCGGTCCTGCGAGCCCTCGGCGCTACCATCATCCGTACTCCTACCCAAGCTGCGTGGGACAGCCCCGAATCCCACATTGGCGTCGCTCGCCGTCTCGAAAAGGAGATTCCAAACGCCCACATCCTGGACCAGTACACGAATCCGAACAACCCCAACGCGCATGAGTTTGGTACCGCCGAAGAGATTTGGGAGCAGACCAATGGCAAGATCACTGCCGTGGTTGCCGGCGCCGGCACTGGCGGTACCATTACGGGCCTGGCCAAGGGCTTGAAGAAGCACAACAACGACATTAAAATCATCGCCGCGGACCCCCAGGGGAGTATCCTCGCCTTGCCCGAGTCCCTCAACGAGCAGCACCGCGACGAGCCCTACAAGGTGGAGGGTATCGGTTACGATTTCATCCCCGACGTGCTCGACCAGCAGATCGTGGACAAGTGGTACAAGACCGAGGACGGCGAGTCCTTCCAGCTAGCCAGGCGCTTGATTGCCGAAGAGGGCCTCCTCGTCGGCGGCAGCTCGGGTTCCGCCATGGCGGCCATGGTGAAAGCCGTCAAGGACCTTGGCCTAGGCAAGGGCGATACCATTGTCGTGATCCTCCCCGACAGCATCCGCAATTACCTGTCCAAATTCGCCGACGACGACTGGCTCGCGGCTAACAACCTCCTCACCCCCTCCAAGGTCGAGAGCGAGATTGGTCAAAGGCGGGCCCCGCCGACGACCCGTACGGCGGCGCCACCGTCAAGGACCTCCGCCTGCGGCCCGTCACCTCGGTGTCCGCCTCGAGCCCCTGCTCCGAGGCCATTGAAACGATGCGCGACAAGGGTTTCGACCAGCTGCCCGTCCTGGCCGCCGGCAGCAAGCTCGTCGGCCTCGTGACGCTGGGCAATCTCTTGAGCTACATCTCGCGAGGACGCGCGACGGCGCAGAGCCCCGTCAGCGATGTCATGTTTGACTTTAGCCGGCTCGACGAGGTCGTCACCGACCCGCGCGACCTGCCCTCGGAGGCCAAGGAGACGGGGAAGAAGAGGAAGTTTATCGAGCTCAAGGTCGATACGCCCCTGAAGACGCTGAGCAAGTTCCTCGAGTGGAATAGCGCGGGTGTGATCACGGAGAGGACGCCCGACGACAAGGGCAAGTTTAAGCCTGTGGCGGTTGTCACCAAGGTGGATCTTTTGACTTGGATGGTTCAGAAGTCGTAGGCGGGGCGGGCGCATATAGTCTCATACAGGAGTTAGTGCTCAGGTACCGCGGGGGTTTCAACAACATTTGATACGAGACGCATGCCGGAGGGGGAGTTGGCGTTTCTTTTCGAATCTTCTTTATTTTCTGGACTACAAGGTAGAAGGAATGCGAATGCATGGGGGGGCGGACATGGACATTTAAGCGCCAAACAAGACTCAACACTTGTGTAGATAGGCCGAGGCAAAAGGTTGTGAAGTTGAGAATAATGCATAATTAGAGTAGATCCTATTTGGAGCGATTATAATATTCTCCTTCAACAAAACCGGCTTAACCATGCCAAAAGGAAGTGAGAGGGTGTGGATATCTCTGGTGATTGGTGACAAGAGCTAGCATCGAAGCCAAAGAGAAGAAACAAAAGAACCCGACATATTCGCCTTCATTGTGCATCTCTAATTCCAAATGCATAGAATGCTTCCGAGGAAAAGAGGAATAAGTGAAAATAGCCACGAGAAGGAAAGAGTACGAAACAATAGACCAAAACCCGCATCTTGTACTGTTTTAAACCTTGTCCGCGATCCAGGCCCACCACTTGCCCACGCCAGGGCCGTCGCCCAACACGTTACCGCCCTCGACGTCGACGTAGACGTTGAACTCCCTCATCTGATCAAAGGTAAACTTTTCGGTGCCGTAGGAACCGAGCCAGTCGTCCGTCTCCTCGGAGCCGATGTCGTCGGTGCCGACGCCCGAGTCGAGCAGGCCCTTGCTCTTGGAGACGCGTATCCGGGAGATCTCGGCCTCGAGGCTGGCCTTGACGAGGGCCGGGGGCAGGGCGGTGAAGAGGTCGAGCTTGTTGACGGCGACGAGGAGGGGCACGGCGGAGGGGATCTTGGAGGTCTTGATGCCGGCGGTGCGCTTCTGGAGGAGGAGGAGGACATCGTAGAGGTACGAGGCGGCGGCGGAGAGGGCGTCGTGCTCGGCGAGCGCGGCGGCGTCGACGAGGAAGACGACGGCCTTGGTCTTGGACTCGGCGATGGCGTCGGGGGCGAGGCGGGCGAGCGTCTTTGGCGGAGCTTGCCGTGGCCGGGGGTGTCGACGAGCAGGAGCTTCGTGTAGGCGCCGGAGGATTCTTGCTTTTCGACGAGGCGGGATTTGGGGGCGGAGAGCTCGACGGAGTGGGCGGCTTGGGAGGTGTGGGTTTGGGGTACGGGCGACTGGGGTCGCTGTTGCTGTTGCTGTTGCTGCTGCTGGTCGCCGGCGGGGCCGGCCTCGGAGTCGCGCTCGAGGAGGGCGACGAGGGAGGTCTTGCCGGCGGCGGGGCTGCCGACGAGGAGGACGGTCGGGGGCGAGGTGTAGGGCGAGGAGCTGACGAGGGCGTAGTGGAAGAGGACGGGGAAGAGGAGGACGATGAGGGCGCCGGTGATGAAGACGGTGGGCGAAGGGGTGAAGATGTATTCGAGGAAGGCCATGAAAGGCTCCTTGTACTGGAGGAGGGCGTCCATGGTTGGAGAAGAAATGGGGGACAAGTAAAGAAGGAGGGAGGTGGGTGCGGGAGCAAAAAAGGAAGTGTCGCGAAGAAGAGTTTATGCAGCGCCCTCTCCTACTTTTTTGTGCAACGGGAGAGATATAAGGGGAGGTGAGAAGGAAGTCGTTGTTTTCGCAAAAGCCAGGTGGCGATGGCGAATATGCGAAAAGGAAAATAAAGGGGGGACGGATTTCTTTTTAGCGAGTTGTGGTTTGAAGCTCTAGGCGACCACGGCGCCCCACCACCGTGTGTGTGTGTTAGAACAACTCGTTTCTGTCGTCCTTTTTGATGAGCTAGCGTCCCGGCTCCGGAGCGAAGGCATTTGAAGTCATACGTTGTTCATTCGGAAGCTATTTTTCTTCTTTCTGCCTTCCACACAGGCGCGTGTGGCTGGAACAAGGCTGGAGATTAGTAACACTGTGTGGCGAAGGGAGATGTGGCTTTCTTCTGCCAGACTGAGGCGCTGCTGAGATTGATTGCTCTGGCGCCAGCGCAGGGACCTTGAAATGAGCCTGGTTGATATCTTTGCGCGTTGGGTTACGATAGGGCTGAGATAGCGCTTCTTTGCTTTCTTGATTTTTTTCTTTCTTACATGTAGTTATAAAATTTTTCTTACATTTTTAAAGAAAATATATTCCATTGGGGAAAAGAGGGATCCGACATGGACTCGGTTCTTATCTTTCCTCATGTAAAATCGAGGATGTCGCGGATGATGCTGAAAAAAATGATGGGGAATTTCTGCCTTGCAGGTCTCCATCTTCTTTCGTCACGACATTAAGATTAACGAGCACTTCCGCTCTCGCGTGAGACGGATGCTTGCACCCCGGGCTAGTTCCCTGCACGAGACGGGGGCTTTCATCTTAAAACACGACTGTCTGCGACCTAAGCATTGCATTGGCGACGCCGAGTCGTATCGATTTGTTTGAAGTTTGCCGGCGACCGTCGACGGCACGACCTTCTCGAAGCTGGCATCTATTAACCATCAACTCTTCTTTCTCTGTTTCTCTAAAAATAGAGAATAGTTTGTCCTTTTGATGTTTGGTGTCCATAGCTATAATTGAGGGCATGCAAGCTAGCATGAGCATTTGCATCAAATCAAACAATTTCTTATTTTATTTTTATTTTTAATCCCTATGAAGAAGACGCAGCTTGAGACGTGAAGGAAGAAAAAAAAAAAAAAAGAGGATTGGAAAATTAGAGAACCCGACCCAGCCGGCCAAGACGCAGCCAAGACTGGTCGAGGCCCCAGTCTGACCCAGAATTGCGTGTACATGACCATCAGCCTCTCCCGCCCAAAGAAAAGCGAGGGAAGGAAATAGGAGACGCGAGACGCCATTACGAAAGCTTCTCGCCGGGGACTAATAAGAAGGTGCCAGTGCCAGTGCCAGGCCTCCCAGCCCCAATCCCGACCCCGAGACTGCAGACGCGGCACACGGGACCTCCCCAGTCTCGTCAGCCTTCAGCTCTTTCCCCCAAACAGAGTCCACTTTCACCCCCAAAAGGAACAAAAAGGTACAGAAGTCAAGAGACTGCGAGACCGTGGGACTGGATCGACATTCCTTCGTAGCTGCCTTTTTCTGCTTCTCCTTTTTCTTTTTTCTTTTTCTTCTTCTTTCCTTTCTATCATCTTCTGGGATCTAAATTTCCTCTTGGGTTTGCACTAGATTTTGTTTCAGAGCTGCTGGATTCCGGGTTCTGCGTGAGGTCCAATCTCATAAGCTTGGTACCATCCCACGTTTTGTCCCTTTCCCCTTTTTTTCTTTTTTTCTTTTCGCATCCCAGCATCCCTTTAATCGTGGATCGGCTCGTCGTGAAGGAGGCCCTCGCTTTTTAGTCTCTTGCTTCTTTCCTCCCCCAACGACGACCTAATTCCCAGTTTCGCACTGAGTCTCGGCCACGTTCCTTCCTTTTGACCCTGTTACGCGACTTCCTCCTCAAGTGGTTCCTGGCCCGCTTTTTGTGAAGCCTCGAGACGACGCCACGGCTTGACCGGCTCGACGACACGACACGCCTGCCCGATCACGACCTTGCTTTGCTTACGATAGACGGAGGAATAACCCACCTGTTGCGCAAATTGCCCCCGCCTCCGTCGCGAACTCGCCCTTCCCCCTCCCTTTCTTGTCTCGACTTCAGTTCGTTCTCGAACGGCGAGACCCCGCGCCTTTCCTCCTCGATCCCCTCCGCTACGCTCCACGCAGTAGTCCCTCGGCTGACTAGCCGCGCACCCTCTGCGTTCCATCTACCGTCCTTCGGCACATGGCCGGCAAACCAACAGGAATCGGCTCCGAGTCCACCGCCCCCACCCCCATCCGACTCTCCTCCAAGTCCGCCGCCGCGGCTCCTATGCTCGATAGAGAGATGGAGCTTGGTGCGCTCTCTGGCGAGGCCACATCGCCCGCCGCGGCCGGCGCTGCCGCGGCACCGGTCCCGGCCGAGAATGATATCATGCAAATAGCGAGGGTAGGCGATGTGCCTGCCATGGAGAAGCTGTTTGAGTCTGGAGACTACGACGCCACATATACCGATGACGATGGCATTACGCCGCTGCATGTGAGTCCAGACTCGTGACCCTGCTATCCTTCTGCGCCTTCACCATTTTCTCCCTTCCCTTTGCTTTCTTCCCCTTTGCCCTGAGCTACTCTTGCTAACCGACCGGTTCAACAGTGGGCGGCCATCAACAACCAGTATGCCATGTGCAAGTTCCTCATCGACCATGGAGCCGAAGTGAACAGGAAAGGCGGCGACTCGGTCGCAACACCCTCCAATGGGCTGCTCAGCGCTGTCACTACTACGTCGTCAATTTTCTCCTTCACCACGGCGCCGACCCTCTCATCACCGACCAACAAGGCTACAACACCCTCCACATCGCCACCTTCAACGGCAACGTCCTCCTCCTCGTCCTGCTTCTTCATCAGGGCATCCCCGTCGACGTTGCCGACAGCTTCGGCCATACCGGACTTATGTGGTCCGCCTACAAGGGCTTCCCCAGTGCGTAGACGTCTTCCTCCGCTGGGGCGCTAGCGTCGAGGCGGTCGACGAACAGGGCTTCACCGCCCTGCACTGGGCCCTCGTCAAAGGTTCCGCCGCCTGTATCCTCAAACTGATCGAGTATGGGTCCGATCGCTTCGCCAAGACCGAGACGGGTAAGACCCCGGCTGTGACGGCCTCAGAGCTCAACACGACGCCGCAGTGGCGCCGCGCTCTAAGGGAGTGCGGCTACGACAGCGAGGGCCACCTCATCGTTCCGCCGTGGCCTGGGGCGTCCTATTTCCTCAAGGATAAGCGGGATTTCGTGACCAAGTTCCTATTCCTCTACCCGACAATCTTGATCTGGGCGGTGATTAGCATCGTCGCATACATGCCCATCTTTGCCGGCGTGCCCCTCGCCATGGCGGTCGGCTACGGTTTGATGTGGGTTGCAAACCAGGTGCTCGAGCATGCGCCATCAGACATGAGACACTACCAGAAGACGGTAAGTGCAAGAACAGCAAACCCCTCCCTCTCAAGATCGCAACAAATCACTAACCTAGAAACCTGGACTTGGACGTAGCCTTGGTTGGCCGGCATATTTGCGGGTTCGCTCTTCCTCATCGGATGCAACTGGCTTCTCTCCATCTTTGCCTCAACGACCTTTTACGCAGGTAAGTCTTGAATGGACCCAACGCTGCCATATCCTTCCCACACAACATCTTCGTCCCAACTTGCTGACCTCTCCGCCTCGCCCGACGACCAGAATCCGAAACACGATGGCTTCTTAACCTGGCTTTCCTCGCCTGCTACCTCACCGTCGGCTACTTTTATGCCACCTGTATGGTGTATGACCCAGGCTTCGTGCCTAAGATGAAGGGCATTGCCGAACAAAAGGCCGTCATCGACGAGCTCCTCAAGGAGTGGAAGTATGACGAGGCCAACTTTTGCGTCACCTGCATGATTCGCACGCCCCTGAGGAGCAAGCACTGCCGAAGGTGTCAGCGCTGCGTTGCCAGGCATGATCAGTGAGCCTTTCCCTCGTCCCAACCCCGCGTAGAGCTTGGTCGAAGATGCTAACAGACGCACTAGCCACTGCCCTTGGGTGTACAACTGCATTGGCGTCAACAACCATCGAAACTTCTTCTTCTACGTCGTCAGCCTCACTTTTGGCGTGCTATTCTACGACTGGATTCTCTACTACTGTAAGTCTCGCATCGCATCGTGTTATCGTCCCAATCTTGTTCGAAAACCCCTCCCGCCTCCTTTCCCCGCTAACGTTTGATGTAGACTTTTCCGCTCTCACGCCCAACGCCTCGGACACCTGCAACTTGCTCGGCCCCAGCATCTGTAAAGTTGTCAACGCGGACGCCTATACGCTCATTCTCGCCATCTGGGCCACGCTCCAACTCACCTGGGTGTCTATGCTTCTGTTCGTTCAGGTGATCCAAATCTCGCGGGCCATGACTACCTACGAGAATATGTTTGGAGTGCAGGATACCGATGTTAGCACGGCCTTCACCTCGACCGGCACCCCTCTTGATCCCAACCACCCGGCCAACGCGCCCTCGGGCGAGTCCGGCACTGGCGGAGGCCACTCCCACGGACACTCCCATGGCCGCAGGCGCCAGGGCGGCTTCGTCAAGAACTGGGCGCGTATCCTCGGCGTTGATCCTTTTATCGAGACAGTGCGCGGACGCGGTGCGGCAACAGGCAGCAGTAAAGACCGGCGCAAGAAGAAGAACCCTTACTCCAAGGGGTGCGTGGTCAACTGCAAGGACTTCCTTTGCGACCCGGCCCCCTCTTCGGCGAGAGGAGGAGCGGAGAGGCTAGCCTCGGGGGTGAGGTGGTCAATTACTCGGAAATGTACGAGAGCCCTCGGATGATGGAAGCTACAGGCAGGAGGAGGAGGGGCGGCTACGAGTCCGTAGCAGTTGAAGAGGTATAGCCGAGATCGGCCCTCTTTTGCTTTGCTTTCCGCCCCTTTTATTCCTCTCCGCCTTTGCTGCTCGTTCTTGCGGACAAGAGGAATCGGGAAAATGAATGGGGCGTTTCTACTTGTTGTCTACATACGCCCCGTGTATCTATGTATACCGCTTCGGGTTTGTTTTTTCCAAGTTACCCTCTCCAACAGACGTTCATACCGTGCATTCCACAGCGGCCTGTTTTTGTTTACGAGGTATGGGGAGTGGGATCGGGATTTGGAAAGTGCGCACGGAGTTGTGCGCTCTCCCGCTCTTTTTCTTTTGCATAGGATGGCCACCCGGTTTTGTTTTGATGGTCAAGGGGAAGAGATGGTGAGGCATATGCTATGGGCGTTTTTTCACTCTTTTTCCCTCTCTCCCTCTCACTCTCGATCTCGGTCTCTACGCACCCCGCCCCCTCTTCGCTCCCCGGCTCCTTTTTACACTTTGGCCGTGGCGAGATTGTCTCTCTTGCAAACCGAAACCGAGGTTACGGTGGTCTCAAGTGAAGAGGGGAAGTCGAGAGCTTATTTAATCTCACAGGAAAGGGGAAAGTTAGAGAGTATGGATGATGGGATTCTAAGATGAATGGCGCAGAGCCGGAGGAAAGGAACCAACGCATGGGAGATGATACACACGACCCTTACAAAGGAGTGAGTAATAGACCTATCTTAATTATTTGTTGTGCTCAGATTCTTGTTCATCCCCTCCAGAAGATGTGGTTTGAAAGCATGCCTGCCTCTCCTTGCCCTTCGGACCGACTGGCAACAGAGACAGCAGGTCTTTTGCGCGGCAGGGCGTGTAGAAGCGACTGGGTAAGCGCCCCTTCTGCTGACACGCCTGCTTCTAATATCTACGCCAAGGAGATAGGATAGCCTTTTTCTACTAATGAGACATATGATGTGAGAGGGTCGATGAAGGGGAAACCCATGTCCCTTTGACTACGTTCTTCAACCGCCCTCTGTTCGATGTACGAGAGTGAATTCGGAACATGCGTGAATGGGGACTTAGGACGAATGGTACGTCCGTTCACGAAAGTACCCGAGGGACTGGACAAGAAAGGGGGTATTTGGAGGCTGGGGGATGGATAGGATACATGAAGGAGTGTGTGATGGCAAGACCTTTATTCACTCAGAAGCAACGTGAAGCGATGGTGACCTTGAGGAGGGGCGGGTGCTATCGATTTGAGGCCCCGGCAAGGGATCTGGGAAGCGGAGAGGGGGTGGATGAATGGAGAGGAAAAGACAATCCGGTGACGGTCCTTGGCGGGAGAGAGGACATTGGGAGGAGAGAAAAGATGCCTGGGGCAAAGGGGTGCGAGGGAGCTGGCCCTTTCTCGATGTCTGCCAAGACGGCTGTGAGGGACCAGAGGGCGCATGGGGTGTGAGGAGAGTGAGGGAGACGAGAGCACAAATGTGCCGAGCTTTGAGTCTTGGGGACTTTGTCGAACGGTGGGGGAAGGGGGTGCAAGGCCCAAGGCCGTGGCGAGGCAGGACGGCGATTCTACTTTGATGAGAAAAAGGGACCAACTTTGTCCGCGTGGATGCCTGGGAGGAGGCCGTGGCCGAGAAAAGGATCGAACGAGACTAGAGGGTACGTGACCGGGTCGTTTCGTTCCTCGTCTCCATGAAGGAAGGAGAAGGTGAGGGTGAGCAGGGGGGAGTGACGATTCTTGGTCTCTTCGCCTCTGGCGCGGATACCAAGGCACGGAGGACCCCGAAGCAGTCATCTAGGCTGGTGGTGGGCCACTACGAACAAGCACAGGACAGAGGCAATGTGAGTTTCTGGGCGTTGGGAAGGAAACGGGCGGAGCTTTTTTGTTTTTCTTCTTGCCTCGTGCTGAGAGAGTCCACGCCCTGGTTGCCTGGGGACCTCAACGAAAGTTGTCGGGAAGAGGGCGGGGGGGGTGAAGAAGAAGAGTCAGGATGAAGCTTAGGTTAAGGTTGAGGTTGAGGGGGAGGGGAGGGGGGTGAAAGGGGAGAGGGAAGGAGTGAGCCATATCCCGGTGAGGGAGGTGGGTAATGGGAGAGAGACTTTGCCATGACGAGAAGGGGATTCTTTGGCCCGGTATGAAGAGGTCGATCGTTCTGCGCTCTGCTGCCTGCGATGGATTCGCGGCAGGATATTGAGAGGAGACAGGTTCTTCTGGGGAATGGGCAGGAAGCACGAGGAGACTGTTTTGGGGTAGGGTGTAACGTGGGAAATCCTTGGGTGGCGAGAGGACGGAGCTTTTCTTGATTCCTCTCTGCCTGGGCGTGAGGATTGGGAAATGGTGAGGGATACAGAGAGAGAGAGAAGGGGTGGAGTGGGAGTGGGAGGAGATGGACACGGAGGGGTGAGAGAGAGAGAGAGAGGAAACGGTACTTGGACTTGGATGATTCGGATCGTTGGGACTCTTGGTTTGGTCTCCGAGGAGGAGAAGAGCACGGGGAGGGTTTGTGACTTGTTGCCTAGCAAGCGAGGACCGTGGGGTGCCACTCTGTGGGCTGGACATGGAAGAGCGAGGGGGGCGAGAGAGCTAGAGAGAAGGAGAGAGAAGGGGAGGGATGGTGCGAGAAGGTCGTGCTGTACCTTCTCCTACTCAGGGACTTACTCTTTTGGTTGATGAGAGGAGGCGACGAGGTGTGAGGATGGGGGTGGGGGCAGTTAAGGTCAGGGGGTTGGACTTGCTGGAGGGACGGGGAGGGGGCGAGGAGCCAGTCACCTAGGCCAGGCAAGAGTTGTCATTCGCTTTGTTGGAGGCGGCTTCAGTGTGCTTGCCTCCTGCCAGGGCAGCCGTTGTTGAGGAGATGGGGAGTGGAGAGTGGGATGTGGGTAGTGCGAGAGGGTGCGAGAGTGTGCGAAAGAGTGCGAAGGGGAGTTGGCGGTACGGGGGTAGTTACGGAATGGGGGCTATGGAGATGTTGCAAGGCTTTCTTGAGTTGTGTTGATGTGGTGAAGAGGAGAGGCCAGTCAGAGGACTTGGGGAGTGGCGGCTTGGGCGAGGGAAGGGGGCATACGTGGACTCTGGAGGGTTGGAAGAGATGGTTTTGGGGGAGGAGGGAGGTAGAGGGAGTGCGCATTAGTACAGTGGTGAGGAAGAAGAGGGAAATGAAGACACGCCCCTACTTGGTTGTTCCAAGGGAAAGGAGAGAGGAGAAGGGAAGGATTTTAGACACGAATGGAGGCGTCATCTGATGGGTGGTCAAGAGGGAGAAGGCTGGGCGGGACTCCTCTGACACTGCGTGTTTCTTTTCACTTCACGTGCTGGTAGAGGGTGTAAGTGGCGGCGGAGAGGGTAGAGTAAAGGTTTGTCAAGTTTCAGAAGGGGGATATACGGGTGGGAGCGTCAGGTATTTGTTCCCAGGGCCGAATCCGGCTCTGACTGCATGGACTTAAAGTAGCTTGGGGGTATATGGAAGGGAAAGAAAAGGAAAAGGAAAAGAAAAAAGAGAAGAAAAGAAAAGAAGAAAAAACAGACTATTGGACAGACAGAAAGCAGAAAACAGGGGGAAGGCTGCGTCGTGGTAAAAAAAATGTATGACGTCGGAGGTCAAAGTGGATGGTGGATGGATGGAGCGCGGACTTGGAGGAAGAGGCGCGGTCGCGGCTACTTGGCGTTTTTCTGGTCGCTAGTCGCATATGTGTGGCGAGTGGAGAGGGAAGGATGAAGCGAAATAGATAAAAGGAGCAAGAGTAAGTTATGCATCAGAAAAAGGAGATTATATCGTAGTTTTGTTAATTCAAAGATGGAGTCACCCCAGACGCCAAAGACTGTGGTTTCTCCTTTACAAGACGGGAGTCGGGCATCTTGAAATGCCCTCGCTCACGGATAGTCTCCGAGCTGGGCGGGAGGAAGAGGAAGGGGTGCTCTTGCGACATTCCATCTACGAATCAATGCATTTTGTGCTTTGCGCTTTGCAAGTGGGCGGTGCTCATCGAATCAGTACATTGTATTGAATAATCGAGACCAAATTGATGTGTGGGGGAAGTAAAAAGAAAAGAAAGAAAGAAAGAAAGAAAACCCCTGTTTCCTCCACGGTTGGAAAAGGCTGACAAGGGGTCGAATTTCGCAATCGACATCTCGAAGCCTTCCTCACTTGTCGCAGAGTGCAAGAGCGAAAAGAGCGATGATGTGTGTGCGTCTGTGCCACATGGGAGCCCTCTTTCCGCAGCGGTGCCCCCATCCCTGCACCGTGAATCCGGGACTGGATGTATTGATGGGATGTCATCAGGATCGGCGGAAATGGGGCACAGGGCAGAGGGTTTCAATGGTTTGGGGTTTCTGCGGCTGGGGGAGAAGAGGAAAAAGTGCAGTGGCTCGGGTGGTATCAGACAACGGTACCCGGGTACTGAGGTAACACCAAGGACAATAAAGGCCCTAAGGGTAAGGAGAAGAGGCTGATGATTCCTGGGGGCGGGAGCATGAGGGTGGAAATTTGGGAGGGAGAGAAGCGAAGAAGCGAAAGTAGACGTAAAGTCTGGTATGACAGCACTGAGAGTGCAGCACAAGTAAAATTGGCCATTTCGTGGGGAAGCGGGCCACTCACTGCCACACTCTTGTTCTTGGACGGAACATTGAATCAATTGATGACTTGCAGCGCGGCGAGCTAATCTCCCAACGTGTGGGTTGCACCTGGGCGGGATCAATTAAAGGGATTGATCAAAAGGGCTGGCTTGATTAATAGCGTCCACTCACAAAGCGGGAGCGTGAGGCTTTGATCGATTGAGTTTATCGATTTCGACGACGGAGTTGCCGCTGTCAGGCACTCCAATGGGGACAAGCCGGCACAATAGATCCATAGATCCATGAGATCCTTAGATCCATCCATTCCATTGAGATCAATTGCATCCATCAAGATTCTTTAACGGCATCGCCAGCGAGATCCGCCAAGATAATCAGGGTTTTCGAATCAACTCGACGCAGCCAATGAATGGTGCAT